ACACTTAAAACTAACATAGCACTCACCACTAATACCCCAAAAAAACACAAAAACGAATATAATTGAGAACGATTTTATGTGCATCGTTGCCACATAATTTATAATTTATCATTTAACAAATATTCTTGAAAAAAGTCATATGTAAAGTAAATATGTTTACAAAATTTTCAAAAATGTAGAATTATAAAAATATGTAATAAGTAGGGAACGGATTTATATGTAAATGCATATTTTTATTAAAACGAGGTATTTAAGATTCGATAAGAAATGTTTATGATTTAAATCATTCCTATTAAAATTATGATACTTTTATTTTACATAGTTTTACATATTTTGGTATAATTACATATTTTTACATATTTCACTAATTTTTAAATATTTTTAAACATATTTTTATCATTTCATCATTCATGCGTCTTCTTCGTACGAAAATACAAGAAATTATTTCAAAATTATATCCAGAAACTTTTATCTCTATTGGCAAAGCTCAAAATATTATGCAAAATGAAACATTGAAAATAATTTAATTTTAATTAAAAATAATTTAACAAAATTATTAATAAAAAATATTTCACCAAATGATAGTATGCAAATTGTTGAATCAGCGATTAAAACTCGTAAGCGGACCAATAGATGTCGTAAAAAAGAAAATTCATGCTGTTACAGAAAAAAATTCCAGGCAATATTGATTTTAAAACAATCAATGACATAATGAATGGCAGACAACCTTTTAAAAATTTGGAATTATCGCCTTCTGATAGTATGCACTTGAAATATGCTTTTAATACATCGGTTGATGTGAAACGATAATTTAGCCGCTTTAAAAGTATTTTGATACCTAATAGGAGACATTTAACATTTGATAATTTACAAGATATTGTAATAATTCAATGCAACAAATCTTTTTGATAATTTAATAATAATAATCACTTTTTTTTTAATTTTTTTTTCCCTACATATTTGGATGTTTTTAGCACATATTTTATAAATTATACTTACATATATATGTACATATTTCTGTATTTTTATTACATATAAATCCGTTCCCTAGTAATAAGAAATGAGGTATCTATTAATTAGTTATAGCAGGTTATTGTATTTAAACATAGGTACTCAAAATTTTGCTTATGTCCTTACGTATCCGAATAAAACTTTATTTATTATATACTATCTAATAATACTAGATTTTCACCCCGTTCATTTTGTATAATTTTAATTTCATTATTTTCCATTATTTGAAGAAAAGGAATATGATACGTAATATATTTTATAAACTAACGAATACTTCGTTGACGTTTTTACGACGACTACGACACCTGTAGGTATCTCGTATAGGTATCTGGTATTTAAGTTACTAATAACATCCGGTTAATCTGATAAATATCAACCGTATCAATCGTTCAGCCAAGAGGTATAATTTTATTAATCGTTCGATAGCCGATTATTGTACTCAAAATTATCATTCGATTAAATTTGGCAACATTGGAAAAAAAGTTAGTTAAAAATAATGTTCTCAATCGTATTTTACCGAACTTAAAGTATCAAGTGTGCTAAATATATTGAATAGTTTACCACGCGGGCCGTGCATAAAAATTTGACGAAAAAAATATTTTTATTATTATATTTATATTCATATAAAACCATCAATAAAGCTTACTCGATAACAGTTTATTAGAATATAAAACGTAATAGTGTATACCAAATATAACATTATCTCAGAATCTACGATAGTTGCGACATGACACTTATATTTAATAATTTTTTTCACTATTTATTTTTTATTTTGTCTCTTAAAATTGGTAGTCGCATGTCTACCATAGTTATATCTGTTCTAGACAAAAGGTTTACAATTCAACTCAAATAGTAAGTAAAAAAAAAAAAAAACTAAATTGTAAGTTTAAATTATAAATAATTATAAAGCTCTTATTATGTTATACATTTTTACTTTTCATAAGTTTTAGTTCTAATGATAGTAATATTCTCTGTTGTTGTGAATGCCTATGATTATAAAAGATGGGTTTAGATACCAAGGTATGATATTGGATTAATGACAGAATAAATGTTAATGTGTGATCTGTATTATAATCAATAAAATTGCCATACAAAATGTTTAACATATAATACAATAATATTGATAGTTGTCAGTTAGGCACAATATAATTATAATAAGTAGAAGAGTTTCCAGCAGGCACAATGCAAAATACAGTAATAATAATTAGAATTAAACAACTTACATAACTGTAGGCATTCGCAATGCCAAAAAATCTCTAACCATTATGCACTAGCCAGTAATAACTCTGATAATATTAATATGTTAGCATATTGTACTCGCAGGGTCGCAGGGTCGATCGAGATTGATTTATCGATCTTTCTAGGGATATTTGTCGATCGTAATAAAAAGTTTTGTCATTGGTTTTGTAAAAAACCAATGTCAGGTATCACATAAATAAACTTATTTTTTCTTTTCTTGTGTATTATTAGAATATTAGATTATTATTATTTATTATTATTAAGAAACAAAAGAGAAACGATAAATAATTATTAGACCATTTTTTTAATTTTTTTTCCACTTTAAACCAATCTCCTCATAACATGTTCTAGATGTCGATCAGTAGAAACTTAACATTTCAAATGTAACTCACTTATTTGAAAAAATTGGCGACCACTGTACTAAGCGCTATCATTATTTTACCGTTAACACAATAATATGCAGTGCAAGTTCTAAAATACTACTATAACAGTAACAAGTCTCTAACCTATATACATATGATAAATTACAAATATATTATGAATTTATAATAATATTCCTATTTTGTAAAACGTAAAGATTACAATTTATTTTATTTTTTATGAATATTATTAAATATTAACGAAATACGAGTACAATATAATAAAAATTGAAATAAAATAAATATCGTATTATTAATTATATTTTAATTTATCATCGTGCACAGATGTTTAAAAAAGCGTTGAAAATAAAATACAATATTGATGGTGTTTTCGCCTGTAGATACTATCAAGATACTAAAAATATTCAAATTTAACCACACATACTTAATCGTGAAGCACAATTATCTATTAATCTGTCTTCTATTTGAACGATACAGCTAGTATACCAATTATTACAAATAATATATATACTGACGTACTGAATGCAGTAGTATCTTTATAGTAGCACTTTACGTCATTTGGAACACGTGTTTTGTGGTAATGGGTAAAAATTATACTAGGGCGAAAAAAACAACAACATAATAAATCAGGGTTGATTGGAATGATTCGATATAGTCGCACCGCCGTGTATATTTATTATTATAAAGCACAGACACAGATTCGTGTTTTTCTCTTCTCGACGTTACATAAATAAAAAATGATTACCACGCGGGTGCGCCGACAAAGTGCTATGATGCCTTAGCGGTCGGTCTAAAGGGATCTCGTTCCGTTCGTATACGGGTGGAAAAAATTTAAAAAAACATACGCGCGCCTAGTGCCTATACCTTCGAACTCGTGTCGCAGGACCGCCTAGACCGCGATAATTATGAGTGATTTCGAGTCACATAATTTTGTCATTTTTAGTGTTTTAGTCTCAAAAATTGTACCATCTATAACGAGATAGTGTTCTATGTGTGTGTGTGTGTGTGTGTGTACATTTCTTGGCGGGACCATAAAAGCGAAACGATTCTCCAACCACTTGTTAGTTTTAGAAAACAAATCAAGGGTTTTTTTCATTTTCCTTTAATCCTATGTAGTACATACATTATATTATACATATAGTATATGTATATACGTTTCAGTGTTTCAGTGTAGCAGGCAGACGACTGCGCCAGACACGTTGTGTGGTTTACCTCGTAATATAGAACTAAATTTCTCAGACCATATAGAACTAATATACGTATGTATTACTCTTTATTTGTTTTTTTTTTCTATAAAATTCGATACTTGGGCAAACACGGGGAAAATCTTTTTAATTAAATATGTACTTGTATGGATGCTATAATACATAGGATACTGTGCGAGCAGAATTCAAAACTATAGAAATATATTATACAATACCCAACCATAATAACCATCTTACAATATTATGCGTAATATAATAACGTAAATATTTAAAGTAGAACTAAAAAACTACAATGCTTTATCTTACTTTTGATAGCTTTTTGCCTACAAAATCATATATAAATCAATCATATTGTTCATGCACCGTGCTAAATAATAGAATAATAATGTTAAATGTTCTGCATTATATAAGTAGCTTATATAATTGTAGTTGAATATTATGTACTAGATAAGTAATTTTAAAAAATATTATGAGTGATGAATTAATACAACTAAAATCACTAATCAAAATACATTAAGTAACAACAATATACGTGTAACATAAGTTGGTCGTTTTAATAATTACTTTTTCATTAGATGTAGTAATATAATATATTAAAACATAGGTATATACATTGTGAATACATTAATATATTAATATAATTAATAAATTGTAATACACCAATACTCAATGTATGCAATTTTAAATATCACCGTTCATAACTGCTTAGTACAATAATATATTACTTATTTTTTTAATTTAAGTAGATTAATTACCATTGTTGTTGAAGCCTTAAATCAATAAAAAAATAAAATAATACATTTATAAGTATATTATATATATATATTATTTATAAGTTAAACTATTTTCATTTTAGGTTTATATTAAATTTTATTTTTATTAATATAAATAATAACATAATAAATAATATTATAAGTAATTATAAATCATATTAGTAATAAATAATGGTAATCATACGTCATTATTGTGAAGTATAAAATCGACCAAATACAAAGAATTCATCGAAGAAAAGAATACGACGATGAAATTACATTGTAGTTAGTATACGAGTATAATATGATTCTTGTCTATTTTACTGTTCATTTTTTTGACAAACATTTTATGTAAACTAAAGTGTATAAAACAATTACTAATAAAAGTTTATAGTAGGTTTTAGTGTACACACGTGGGTGTATAATGAGAGTAAGAAAAACATAAAAAAATTATTTCTACACAATGTTATTCATTTTATAAATATAATATACAAAACGTGTTGTGTACGATATATTTTTGACAGTTATAACGTGAATAAGCTTTTATGCCGACAATTATATAATATAACCTTTATAGTAATTTAGTATGACGGTGATGGCAGTTATGTTATTATACCTTCATATATATAAATGTTTATGAAATTGATTATTATTATTTTAAAAATCGCCGTCAAGTGGCTGAATTAGTGAGTGGACTTGGAATTTCGAGTGTTTCGGTCCGTGTGAAAACCGTTGACTATATTGTATTATGTATGTGTGTGTACAACCATATATATAAATGTATAACCACCGCACAGTCCATATTAAAATTAAATTCATCGATGGTATGCAATAAATTATTTTAGTCTATATATACACCAATATACACTAATATTGCGGCTTTAATGGGTTACCCGTGGACTGCATTACAGAAAATATTACATTTCAGATTTTTTAAATGATTTACTGATCGATGCACTTATTTGTGTGTGTACCCGCGTTAATAGACAACCTAAATGTTAAAATTCAAATTAATTATGTAATATCTAATATGCAAGGAAAGCAAAATAAAGTTAATAATTATATTCAGATTTTTTATTTGTATTTTTTTAACTTCGTCTTTAAGATTTATTCGGTATTATTCGTAAAACTCACTTTATGCTGGTCCCAAAGTAAGTTTTATAAGCGGAATTCACTGTGTTTCCACCTTTACAATTTTTATTTCCAACAAACTATGTAAAGGCCTTCAGACGGATACTTTTCAAAGTAATTCTAAATTTTCGATTTGTTTCTCATTTTACTGAATGGCTTATTGGCTTAATGACTTATTCGTTATTGGAACTGTTCGTGGTATTATCAATAATCAAAACTTAGTATATTAAACCTAGCAATAAAAAATAATTGAATTGATAAAATTTAAACGTAAATAATATAAAGGAAAAAATGTGAAAACAAATACCGGTCCATTGCGGCAACGTTCTTGAAATCAACCGACCGCTGTGCAGCGTACGCGAAATGCTTGTGCGGGACGAATCACGGTTGTATCGGTATCCTGCGGAGCAGACGTAACTATAACAACAGTTTACTGCAAACGGGGTACACTACCTGTAGTGTAACGGGTATTATAGTCTAACGAGCGGAAATGTGAGAAAAATCTGCGACCCACTGCGTTCATCGCAACCAGGACCGCGACGACAGCGTTGATAACAAGTACGGTGCCACCAAACCTAAATCGCTGTGCACATGTCCTCCAGTCGTGGTTGCACGAAGTAGTTTCCTCCCCCCCCCCCAACACCTGTCTCGCGCGTAACCCATTGAACCGTTTACGGAAAGAAAACCGAACGAAAAAGGATTCGGAGTACGCGCGAGGTGCTAGTCGAGGGGATAGTCGGTCGGCGGCCTGATTGCATAGCGTCAGTGAAAACGGCACATGGCCGAATCGGAATCGGCATGAGGACGGCGCGTATGTAGTGCACCGGGTCGCGACCGACATCGTTTCGCGGTCGCCGTAGCGTTACCGACAACGCGGTCAATGCTGCCGCCGCCGATCAGGTCAATATTGGTAACTCGTGGGTTGACCACGTGGCGCGAAGACGCATGACTGCAGCCAGTTGCTGAGTAAATTATCCAGGGGGGGAGGAGCGACCGCCGCGAGAGAGGTTGAAATATCACAGTCGCGTTCCCGTTTCAACGGGAAGTTTGGAATATCTTTTGATTTACCGCTCCGTGCGCTTACCTGTACAACGTTTATCGTCTGTAGTTATTACGATCACAGCAATTATTTGAATTTGTTACGCGTACGAGATTTGATTTTTTTTAGTTTTTTACCGTCCTTCGTTTTGAGCAGTATTCAAGAGACCCTGCAAAATCACGAATTATCTTTATAATAAAAAGCATTTCGTCCAATTGTGTTCGTTTTTATTAAATAATTGCTACTGTTGTGTTATATCCTGTCTGCGGCGACTCCTGTACTGTTAGTACTAACATGAATATACGTCCAACATTAGTGAACCGTGAAACTATTGAGGAAGTTGCAAAACCTTATTCGGAAATAAACATTAAAAAAAAAAACATAAAATTCACGAGAAATACTATTCGAAAATGTCGATGGTGCCATAGTAAGAAGTCGGGGGAAGGGTTGCTAAAGATCCTAAAGATTCACACAAAATATGCCAATGACGTTTAAATAGATATAAAAATGGTTAAGTATCGTATTTGATTTCACAAGTTTCACTTTTCTAAACTCATAGAGAGCTGGAAAAAAATGTAAAGAAAACAATAAGTAATTTGGTAATGATTTCATCACTTTTTCATTTTATATCACATTTTTTACCTAATTTAATATTTTCCTGTTTAAAATTGAATAAAATAATTGAAATGTTGGAAAATTATAGTTTTAACCACTTAGCACCTATTTTTTAATTTAGTCCTCACTTTGAAAAATATTTATACCTGGTAGTTAACGCTTTTCTCTTAAAATGGTGTCTCAGTTTACTTAAAAGATGAACACATTAGATAACCCAGTTAACCCTTAAATCATATGGTTGTTTTAATTAAGGTTCGATGAGTTATGTGTTCAATTGACAGTCATTATTTTGTAGGTAATGTAATTTGAAGTATTACCCATTTATATGGTTTTAAAATTTTAAGTATGTATTCAATAAAATATACGGAAAAGTAATTTTTAGTTAATCATTTATTAATTTATTAAACGAAAAAAGATAACAAATCACGGGCCAAAGCTGTCCAAAGAAAATGTTATAAATAAATATGAGCATTCAGACTCATCCGATTTTACCATCAACCAAGAGCGTATTTGTGTTGAGGCCATAGGGGGGGGGGGGACAAAACTAATTTTCTTCAATACAAACTTAAAAATAATTTACAGTTCATTAACTACAGCTCATGTTCCTGTTATAATGATAGACTAGTAATTTAAATTCTCAATTATTTATACATTACCTTTTTTTAAATAAATCAATGCATTATATTCATAAAAAATACGAGCCATGAAGAGGGGGCGAATGTCCCCTTCGCCACCCCCCCCTCAAATACCCCCTTGCCATCAACAATCAATATACAGACTTCATACGCGTGCTTATTAAATAATCCTTTTAGTTAAATTATACCATTTTAAATAACCAACAAATTAATTTTGCAATAACAGAATAACAAAAAACGAATAATAATAGCTGTAACCGCGTGATAGGATACTAAATAGTAATATAGTTTTGTAATAATGGTAAGTTATTGCGTATGAGAATCATGAATCCGTTTGCGATGTCTATAAATGGTAACTGTATATTATAAACGCAATCTCAACCTACTAAAAACGTCGTCTCGTAATTTCGAATCGTCATGTCTTACCCGATTATATATGTGTGTGTGTGCTTGCATAGATACATATATGACTTATCGGAAACTGGAGATAAATTATTACTGCAAGATATAAAAACGGCTTTCCTGCACTCAAACGTGCCGTTATTCGCTATAGAGAAACTTCGATATTTTAAAATAATTGCATAATAAAAACGCAACTGCAGTCTGCAGCAAATACAACCACATAACAAAAAAATATGACAGAAAGTTCACTCTGTAATGATATATGTATTATATATGTATATTTTATATGTATTAATAACGTTATTAAAATATAACGTTGAGTTCAATGAAATCTAAGGCATACCCTCATAACATCCTATCAAATTCTAAATCGCTAAAGATTATTATTCGAAAATGATTTCGTATTATTATTTACTGAATATAATATCATACAGGATGTTTCTTGAAATAATATCGCTGATATATTCATATAAATAAAGGTATTATTACAGTTTCGAAAATATTTATGTATTGCAACTATATAGTATTTTCACAGCTGATACATTTAGGAAATATCAAAAATATGGAAATTATCAATAATTTTTTATACAAAGTGTAAAAAATGTACACTATATCATATAAGTTAAGTTTTCAATTATTTGTAAAAGAAACAATTTGAAATAACAATTTCGTTCACGAACTATTTTGTACATATAATTTTTAAATTGATCCAGACAATGTAATGACATGAAAATAAGTAATATTGACAAGATGAAATTGTAGTAATAAAAATATATTATTTTTGATATAATTTCTTTTTGTTATAGAGTATAAAATTGCAAACTTTCAGCCACTTGTTAGCGTAATCGTCTTAAATGGTTCTGTGCTCTTGTACTTGCCAAAAAACCAGGGACTAAATATATCTACTATAACTATATATAATATACAGGATAATTTTTTTATTATTGTCTTTACTTTGATATCGTGCTTGGGTGCTTGAGGGTTCGTCGGCCGAGCAACAGCTCAAAAAGACCGACTGTTGAACTATAAACATAATATGTATATTATAGACATTTATTAGAGTATTATACAATATATACAACTGGGAACAGCTATAGTGTAGTTTCGTATTTTGTGTGTTATGTACATGAGAAGTTTAATACGTACATAAATACACAATAATTATGATTCTATGCGCACGTGGCTATTTATACTTGTGTGTCTGTATGTTTTTATTAATAATAAAACAATGAAAAAAATGTCGAAGACGACGGACGAGCGGATGAACATGGTGTAAACAGGAACTTTGGTTTATAATAGTAAAAAAAAGATATGATCGTAGTGTTACATAAATATAAAAAAATGCCGGGTTTTTTTAATAATTCTTATAAATAGTTCCTATTTGTTTTTGTATTTTATTTATAAAAATTACAACTTGTTATAACTGAGTATAAAACAAGTTGTAATAAAATATAATATTTCTTAGTTTAACTAACCATTTAAAAATTTAATACTGTACGTCGTTTAATATTTTCTTTTCTATTTACTAGCGAGTATTTATTTATTTTCACCTAAAAAAAAAAATAAAAACAGTTATACATTTCTTTTGGATCGACTTCCACAATTCCAAGTAAATTCAGTAAGTTGTTATAAAAATAATATCTTAAGCTTTCTTATTTCGTTAGCTTTCCAAATGTAGTTTTTGATTATTTAATGCAAAAATATATTTTCGGGTGCTAAAATTGAATCTGGTATCTATAACTTCAAGTACTAAATCCTGATTATAATTGCAATATACTTGAAGTATTTCATTGGACCTATGATATAATATATCTATATTGATAAACGATAAAAAATTTAATGAATATTATAAATTATAATGTACTGTGACCGTGTTGTTAGTGAATGAAAAATGAAAAATTACCTATATTATGATACTACGTAAAAATATAAGAACATAAGAAACATAGAAGTACATAAATAGCTTTTACAACGAATTAATATACGAATATATATGTTTTTGGTAGGGATAAGGATTGAATCACATTAACTAATCTAGCCTTCGTTAAGGTATACAAAATGACCCAGTAAAAACCGTGGTATCGGGTGTAATGATGAAAAATAATAATAAATTGTAAAATTTAATTTAATTGAAACGTAGATAAACGATTTTTGAAAAATCGTCATCGTTGTTGTCGTCGATCTTAGGTTTTCCGATAGATCTGGTCAATGTCTGTTTGCGATTCTGTCGATTACGGCAGCGTTTATTGCTTCGCGTGAAAGGCTAACGTACATAAACAAACGCAGTCACACACACAAAAACATACGTTCATTATACACAAATTTAATACGTTTTTAATGCACCATACTAATTACAATAAAATTTCGTTTACGAGTCTTTCGTGTACAGCTATACTCGTATACATGAAAGTTGGCAAACACTACACGCTCGCACGGTAGTATTATTAAAATATATACATTCAGGAAGACGTTTATTTCGTTATTTTTTGACTATTACGAAACGGTATAAACCAGTCGCCCCATCATGTCCATCATCGAACGTCAAACAAGTAAAAAAGTAATAACAATAACAATAATACGTGCGGGTATAGAGTTCGCATTTCATTATTTATTTCTTTTTCAATCGCCACCGCCATCGAATCGAAAAAACTAACCTTTAGTCTATGTTTACCTTACCGTAAATCAAGCCATATCAAATATCTTACGACGTTGAAATGAATATATAATAATAATATGCATGAAGTTCTATAATATAATATATTAAACGTAACGTACTTATACGCGTGTCGTTATGTTGCTTGTATAAACACCCGGTGACGTTAAAGTATTAATTATCCTCATAATGAACCGATTGACGATGACAGAAGGCCGCAGTGAAGCGAGCGACGAAGGCAATTATTATTTACACACCTCCAAAAAAACTATTTTTTCTACTAGCTAGATACTTGTATTACATGTGATATAATATTATTATTTTGAAAGAGACAGAATATTGCATGAAGACTTACTATTTTGAATATTTAAGTCTATACAGTGATAAATTAATGTCGGTAACATTACTCTGTGGCTTTTAAGCTTATTAAACTTTCGAGTGATAGTAAAACACACTGTGAATTATTTGCGTAAGTGTAGGTAGAATAAAAAATATATAATTAATTATATTTCCTTTTAATTTATAATAGATACTTTCAACGTGTAAAAATTATGTCAAATGTCAAGGACAAAACTTGATTTCATTTTTATCTATTATCACTTTTAAAATACATACATATTTTAAGACAGACATCACTCTTATTACGCGATTACGATGGGAGTATTTGTATAGTGTTTTAATCTCAGTAAATACATATGGTATGACAGATATAATTGATAGACACATATTGTTTTATAATTTACATTATAAATATTGTGATGGCATGTATATTATATGACATCCATTAGTAAACATACGATTATAAAATATCTAGTTGTAATACAACGTAAAGTAAGATAATGTATTATATGCAATTTCAGTTTTTATGTTTAACATTTATTTTTATTTTTCTATCATAAAAAAAACCGCATGCTAAATTGATAATGAATATAAATCGTTATTTGCAGGTATAACTTGAAAATTATTACTAACAAATTGTAATTCTCGTCTTCCATATCAGTAGGTACAATCCATATTATGGAGGACTACCGACATTAATAATTATAAACTATTATTGTATTGTTTATGTTTATTCTCATACATATTTTTTGTTATATTTGCCATATGGTACAGCGAAAAGTCCTAGTAAAATCATATCACCCGTATCGTTTCTATAACAATTTGTCTATATAATTAAACTTAATAAATAAATGTGTACATTGGAAAAAATAAAAGTATTCACACATGTTTGCATAATAATATAAAAAAAATTGTTTGCACCACATATTAAAATCAAACTGCACGAATTGCATGGTATTACTTTTAAGAACATCTACGAACATGTAATACATAAAATACACATAGGTGCCAATTAAATTTCTGAAAATTTCTGAAAAGTCAGGGTGGCAAATTCTCCAGTTTACCCTCCGGACACTTATGAAATCACACGCTACTATGCTCATATTAAATATTGACAATTAAATACAAGCAAAAAGCTGAATTGATGTCGGACAACTGTATAGAAATTTAAAAAAATAGTTTTGTTGTAGGTAAATAATGTAAATAAATGTACCAAATAGATAAATGAATAAATGTATATACATACACAGCTCCACTTTTTTCTTGTGTTTTTTAAACGGGAACCAATTCGGATATACCCGATAAAATACCTTTTTCAGACGGGAAGCAATTCGGTTACTCCCACTATGGTCGATACCACGATGCCGTATGGAATTAATTGTAATATATTGTTATTTTTTATTAGACGTAGCAATCGCATTGAAACGTATATATAAATAGACAAGGCAGCGCGTAATTTTAACGGAGTGAGGTGCTCGACAGTGGACGTTATACACGCGTTATGCAATTTCTCCGTTATTAATGTGCGCGCGGGCGACGTTGAAGGCGACACGCCGCGACGACGACGCTTCGGAGATGAACGTTTAGGTGTACGCAACGACGCGGCGCGGTGGGCGGTGGTCGAACAGAGTCTGGCGAACATCACGAAGCTAATTTGATTTGAGTCTACGGCGGCGGGTGCGCGTTCACGGTACGTTTAACTTTTACGATTCCGCGCGTTGGCTTTTTGCGAAATTAAAAACTCGCCGCAGTGACGGCGACGTTCGAACGCAATACGTTAATATAGATACGAGTGGATACGGTGATGAGTATATTATGTACTCAAGGGCGCCCATAGGAAAATTCTCAAGGGGAGGGGGACAACATTTTAATTTATCAATCTGCTCTTGAATAGGAATGACCCACGATATAAGAAGGGGTTTAGAATTTTACGTTATATTATTACATTATATAGGTATATCAAACTGGAAAACTATAATATAATAATTATTCAACCGATTTACCATAAAAGTAATTTATTGAAATCTTTATTTAATTAATAATATAAATTGGACACTAAAAACATTAGTTATACTTATTGAAATATTAATTTACAAATACTATATAAATATTATGGTGGTTTACACACACACATATATATACCGTATTTCTGGAAACACAATATTTTAAGAATTGATAATTATCTATAGAATAGAAACGAAAAAGATTATTGTTATTTATTTATTTATATATATATAAACGGACGTGAGTCCTTTACAATAATGTAAGCGTGAGAACGGTAATAGAAATAGTACATGGTATGTGAAATATTATATACAGCGAAAAGACTTAAGAGTTACAAATATAAACTAAAATGAATACAGTTATACAGTTATACTTATGAATACAGTTATAAGTAGATAAAAAGAAACATATGAGGTAAGTAATAACAAGAGAGAATGTAAAAATGAGACGTGTTAGACAAAATCAAAGGTAATGGAATTACCCGCAGCCATTAAGACGTTAGAAGGACTGTTCTTCATATAGTTCGTTTTATAAGGGATAGGATAGAATAAACCATTGTTCCTTGTGCTAAGGGAGTGGATTTTAAAACAAATAGAGGAAAGGAGCTCTTCACAATCAATATTGCCTAATAGTAAATTATGCAAGAATTTAGATAATAATACTTGTCTATTTTAAAGCGATGAAAGGTTGATAAATTTTAATACTGTATCGTAGGAACCACGAGGAGGCCTACACATATTGAAGTTGAAAGAGATAAATCGTAGGAAATTATTCTGAACTGATTCGATAGCTTCTAATAGCTTTATAGCTGATAACCTGATTTTCCAAACTAAATAAATAGATTTTTCATAAACAAATTATAGATTTTCATATATTAAATTAAATTTTTAAATTTCATTTAAATATATTCTGATCATAGTGAGCAATTTTCCAAGATTTTTGACATTTTCCAGGGGGGGACATGTCCCTCCATTGCCCCCCCCCATATGGGCGCCTTTGTATGTACTTGCAATATATTATGTAGTATTTCGTTTATGCATGATGTATTCAATCGCGAAAACAATACGACACTACTGTTACGATTTGCGTGTGGACATTTCAAATGAGTTGGTATCGCTCGTTAACGATTCCAATAATTACAACCGACAACTCCGACGGACGAGTAGAAGAAGCAGCTACCGCAACTAACAACAAAAACATTAATATATTATTGACGCTTTGATGATAAAATACTAAGGAAAAATATTTTTATATAAATTATTTAAAATAGAAAAATATGTCAAATGAGTAATTCACAAAAAAAATTCTAGAACTCCGTGAAAAAATCGGCCTCGGGCCTTGCAAAATCTTTCGCCAGCGCTGATGACCGCCGACGTGATATTTTTATAACAGCACATTGTAATCCAAACAGATAAATATATGCTACAAATCTACAAATTTGCAATTATGATGTAAGTACAATACCGTTAAAAGAAGGTTTTGTTGAACTAGAATTGGTTATATCTAAATATTTTTCTTTATAAAATTGTATTGGGCTGAAAATGCATATTTTTGACAGGTGTATTATTAAAGGTACGTCATCTAATAAAATATATATTAGCCAAAATGTTTTGGCCCAGCGTTCAAATATTCAGCTTTAATGGATAATTGTGATTTATTATTACACAATTTTACTTACCCGTATTAGAATCACGTTCATTGACTTATTGCACCGTTAAATCACACGAAGAAAAAAGTGGTAGGTCGTTTACGCGACTTTCTCGATATACTTGTCTTAACAATTTTCTAAAATAAGAAGAAAAAAACCAGTCGACGTTTTCACCTCTACTACCAGTATAATTGTTATTGCACATTTTGCCTTTTTTGCGGACGCTGGGATGGTGAGTAGTATTTTTGTACTTGCTGAACGCGCTATTTAACAACAACGTGCAGATTGTATACGACGGCCGAACGTATCACACGATCGATAATCACTTTTTTTTTCAAAATTATTGAAAAAAATTCATAAAAAAATCTTTGTGACTGTAAAATTTGGTTGGCTGATGTACACAAAATCGTGTCAGGTAAGCGAAATAGAAAAATTAAAAATATTGCCTCAACATCGCTTAGTATGTACTTATAAGATTAATTGGTGATTAAAAAAATTATTTTTAAATGTTTAAATTTGAAGGACATGTACGCATGTTGTTTCGTTGCTTTGTTAAAATTACGTCAAACAAAAATATCAAATCATATATCTTGTACACCTATATCAAATTATACCCGTAATACAATAATTTTACTGCAAGTCGATTTTTCTCAGCAATCATAAGCTAATTGTAAGCGTAATTCCCTTATATCTTACATTCACGTCAATGGAGTGCTGATAAATTGCGAAATTATAAATAAAATGTTCAACTACCCATGTTAGATTACTTTAATACATTTTTCAAATTATGCCATTATTACATAAAACTAATTTATTATTCAGAAGGTCATGTATAATTGTATGCATCATTAGGATTTAAAATGGGTAAATGTGAACCCGAAATTGTATAGTTTTTACCATGGACATACACATATGACCATAATCACTTCATAACATCTACACCCCCTTAAATGGTGTTTCTTTTGTGTAAATGATTACCATATATGAAAAAATGTAAAATAGATTAATTTAACACATATATTTTGTAAAATGAATATTTCGTGTATTTGTAGGCTGGAAAATACAAAAAATGTATACTAGCCATGGTTAAATATACAATTTTAATTACTTGTTTTGTTTAGCTATTCATAGTTTTCCTGTTTTTTTTCTGTTATGTATAATGTGATCAATATTTATTGTTAAGCATATAATAATTTTGATACGTATTATCTAAAAAGATAATAAGGTAAAAACCTGGACTGAACGCTAACTTTTATTAGTTTAAGTGAATTGTTTTATGTTTGTTTGTATAATATACATTTTTAATAAACTCTCTTGCGAATATAACTAACTCAATTATATTATAACAGAATAGTTTAGTAAAAACGACCATTAGAGAAACTGGAGAAGCAATATTCCATAGAAACTCCACTGCAGTTTTCGATTTAAACACTTAAATAATATAGGATTATTAAATTTTGAATAAATAAAAACAAATTACAATGTCATACAACAAGTAACAACTTATGTAAATAGAATAATTTTATTTCCGAATATGGAAAATGAATAATGTCAGAGGCGTAACTAGGTAGGAAAGGGCTCCGATGCAGTAAAAATAATTGGGCCCCTCTTTAATATTATCTTTATATAAAAATTCAAAATATATACGTCATATCGTTCTTTTAGCTATGAATACTTACTATGAAATGGGAAAATACTAGTTGGGTTCAAAGATATTTAATCACTTAAAAAAAACACGAGTTGGGTCCGCGGTGTTATTCGATAACACTCAAATTAGGTCCACGCCAATATCTTTATTTTATATATTATTTAAAGTTTTCATGCAAAATGCAGTCACCCTAAAATTTTTGTTTTAATAGAAATTTTACTTGGAATTCAGAGTGAAATTTAGGTACCACTTCAGAGCTCAGCCATACAGTTAATCAAAAAAACAGCAGTAAAAATAAAATGTCTTATGAGAAAAGATGTTTTACAAGTGGAAAATTGTTGACCCGATTAATTTTATAAAAGACATATCTTTTAAACTTATTTCCTAGGTTAAACTTATTATTAATTTATTATAGTATAAATATTTATAAGAAAAAGAAAAAACACAATATTTTTATGTCAAAATCAAGCTAATTTAATAATAATTTCAATTAATATTTTAATAATTTTTATATTAAACCTTAACTTAACACATCAAAAAACAAAATTTTTAGGAAACATTCTAGCCAACTTCTGTGTGGTGTTTCTTGGGTAACGCTTACAGGCAACTCATGTACTCCATAAAATATACCGGGATCCAATTCATGCTGTTTTCAAAATCTAGGACCCTACTCGAGTTTTTCCTATAAAACGATAAACGATACTAATTAATTGAAAATTATACAAAGTAAAAAAGAAATCCAGTTTAATAATAAAAAAAACATATTGCATATTGCGTGAATTATTATTCTATTTAAATACTCAATCGTAGCTAGAATTTATTTTGAATAAATAATTGCCACGTAATACTTAATTTTAATATTTAATAATTTCTGTTCCATTTATTATATTCCATAATTAATGTTCTCAATATTCTGTATTTACTTTTATTATTTTCTGTTCTTTATAACATTATGTATACTCTTTTCTCTAACGGACACTAATAAATAAATTATCAAATTATCAAACTACCATGTATAATTTAGGAATTAAATTTATCAACATTTTAAATTATTTTAAGGAAATACAATCTTAGAATTTTCCAAGGATTCCAAGGTTCTCTGACCTCCGAGGTCCCGGAGCACTGCCTCGCTTTGCCCTATGGTAGCTACTCCAATAAATAATGTACAAATATTTACAAATAATATGAATTTGTAACAATTGCTCATTTTCAGTTTTTTTATTGAATGATTTCAAATTTATAGTTTAAATGTTTTTATAGGTTATGTTTGTTATCACCAATAAAGATAAGATATTTGTTGTCATTTTCAAAATGTTGATAACGTTATTTGTAACGATTTATATTTATTATGAAAAATTTCTTACGCTGCACAACATTTGTAAGTCGTTTGATTTAAATATTTATATGTGATATAACTGATCTCCATGTTTTTTTAATATTAATAAGTAAATTATTCTCTAGTAAGTCGTTATCTTTTCGAATAATTTATTACATATTGTTTTAAGTTTCGCAATGACCATCAGCTGAACATTTAAATTATAATTATAATTGTAAATTATTAAATATTCAACGTTCGATACTATTCAGTTTTAATATATAACTACTTAAATTAAGTGTGAACAAAATTGTATAAATGTTGTATGGTATTCTGGTTCAGATGTATTATGGACCAAAGTAAGTAATGATCAAATATTATCTAATGTTTATGTTTCAACAGTTTTTTTTTACAATACATATGTTATATTTAACCTTTAGTGCCATTCCGAAGTATTGACTGATTTTGTATAATCGCTTAACATAATCTTTAACCAAATAAATGAAATTCAATTACTATTTATATTAATTTTTTTTTCTACTTGTAATACTTGTAAAATGAAAACTATAAATCCCAAATATTAACAATAAACTTCAGTTCTTTTTAACACGAAAAATATAAATTTTATGAATTACATTTTTTTTTTTTTTTAATATAAATAACTAGTTTTTATAAAAATAAGCCTCGAGTCCTCAACCCTCTTAATTTAGGCATCTAATTACCTTTTTGTATTAAGCATATTCTGCCGACGCCATAGCCAACGAAAAATTTGTGAGAGGTTTAAAATATAATTATGTTTTTTGAATGTCAAATTTCAAAATTTTTATTTAAATTAAATTAAATTTTCAAAAGAAAAAGAAGAAATATAATAGGAATTTAAAATCATTCAATTTATTTTTTATTAAGAAAAAATGTCGAGGGTGTCTGAACCCTCCCCCTTCAAGGATACGGCCTTGTATTGTGTATAGTAGTTATTTTGATGTCATGGTTATAGATCACCACAACATATAATAATGAAAAACATTGTGTTTGTCAAAAATAAATTACATATAACTTTTATGATAGGAAACAGATAATGCATTTTTTTAAGTAGTGTTTAGTGAATGTAGCGCACGATAAGAACTTTCTATAACTATATAGTGCTTCTATTGCGTTAATTACAGAAAATATTAACTGTAGTAAAATCCAATGACTTTCAGTTCTAGAGAATACTAAAATTAATTATTATGCAGGCCATCGTATACTTAAAAAAAATCAATATGAGTAAGCACAATATGTTTACTTCTGTTTTTTACAATGGAGCGTTAAGCCTTAGTTACGATATAGTATGTAGAAATATATCTAGTATACTACCTGTCTATTGACGTTTTGTTCTTTTTTCCCTTAAGTTACATTAGATTGTATAAACATGTAAAGTTAACCGTTTTACTTCGCTAAAAATTCTAATTTTTTTAAATTTTTTTTATTTCATATCACAGCTGATAGATTCTAGTGAAACCGTGACGTGAAAGAAATAATCATGAGTTATAAAGGCAATAATAACCGGCGTGCGAACCCCGCACAGGTTTATGAAGCATTGCACAAGAAACGTGCAGCTGAATGCGAAGCAAGAGAACAATGGGCCGGTGTCACGCAGTATTTTAAAACATGGGAGAACAACTCAAACAAGTTCACTAGTTGGACTTCACCACAGTACTACAAGAAATGGTAAATCCTAACGTTAAAATACATATTATAGATCTTTTCCTCATACTCAGAACTAGGGCCGGTACTACAAATAGCGTGCAAAATAGTTTTAATGAAATAATACATAACAGTCTCTATTAACAATAATATTACAAATATAATCAGTGGCGTATACAAGGGGGTTGTGGGGGTTAGATCCCCCAAGACATTTTTTAAATGTTATAAAATAATTTTCTTAGTGTGGGGTCGTTAGAAACGTAAAAAAAAAATGATTTCTTTCCAAATTATCCCCCCATACAAAAGGGATGTATACGCCACTGTATATAATATTTACCGTGCCAAGAACAAGTATTAATATAATTACAGTACATTAGTACCATTATCTAGGATATTACAGAACTATTATTTCAACTATAATTTTAAAAACATAACATTTTTAATAACGACATTTTTTCTACATTTTTAGTATTTGTTCAATGATAATATGATTTTCTGTTGTGAGCTCCACTTCTGCGGAGCCCTGTATAAGTTTACTGGTTACACAACCCTTGCACCGGCCTTGCATTGATTTCTTAAATGCGATTCTTACCATTATATCAAGTTATTCAGGACTTGTATAAATTTTGAATTGTAGACCAAAGTACTAATTACTAAAATATTTCATTTTAGCCCAATTACAGAGTTTCTCACGTATTTTAGAAGTAAAAGTATTTACGAACGATTAATATAGTATATTTTTATATGTTTACAGTTCTGAGTTGCAATTGGAAATTCAAAAACGGGAACAGAGAAAACTTGAGGAAGAAGAAGAGGAATTAAAAAAGTGGCGTAAGAAAATTCAGGACAGACAACGTGAAGATGAAGAATTTAAGGTGGGTAAAATCAGGATATATCTCTAATAACAATGTCGAATATTAATTTAATTTTTATATATTTTACCACTTTTACAGAAAGGTCAGATGAAAAAAAAGCCCATTCCGTTATCAAGGCCAAATTCAGTGGGGCAAAAAACGCCTTGTGAAGAAATGGCGATGGAATTGAAACGCAAACAAGACGCAATTATGGACAGGGAAATTGAGTTAAAACATCATGTGCGCTCCAAATCGTGTGATCCTAAACAAGCTAAACAAGTAAATTATATATAATATACTATATACGTTCGGATTCCAAATCGTATCATTGATAATAAGTTTTATAAAAATAGAAGGGTGATCTAAGACAGTGACACGTTTCTGTGTATGTCAAGATTTACTTCGATTTGCTGTGAAAAATATTTTTCTTCGTTTAAAATTTAATTTAATTTATGTGAAAATACATGTAAATGTTTAGATTTTATGTAGACATAGATATTACTTATTAAATGAACATCCGACATCCTTTAAATATGTACTGTAATTTATCTAACCATTTATATTGTGATATTGTCTTATTGGACTATTACCTATTTTCCAGAGCTTTAATTAAACAATATAAATAAAATATTTTAATTTTCGTATACTTTTTCGGAAACCAATCGTGTATCTTTTTTAAAAAAAATGTATATTAATAGTATAAAACTATAAAACGTTTATTAATACCTCTGAAAAAAATGATTCAAGTACATGATATTTTCGTAAAATATTTTTTCTCGGTTGCGTCGTAAACTTAGTCTTTTACTCAAACCGTTTGACTTATAGATTATTAATATTTTTAGTATGAAATGCGGGTACGTGAGCGTTCGTCGGAATCATCGTGGGACGACCGGATGGAGGAGAAAAAGTCAGCAAACCAGAAACGACGGGAACAATCAGAACGTGATCAGAGGTTATCGGAAGAACAGTTGGTAGCTGATCAGTTGGTTGAAGAAGACAAACAACGAACCCGACAAGCTCGAGCGACACAGTTAAAAAACGAACTCGTTGACCAAGTAGCCGAGTTAAAGTAAATAAACTGAAAAATATTCTGTATAGAATGATAAATTAATAGAGCTCCATGCGAATATAACATATATATGCAGTATATTGCTTGGTCCTTGGTTTCAATCGCAAAATTGATTTATTATCAAATCACATATTGACACAATTATTGATTTCGTTTAGAAGACGTTCGGACCGGTGCGAAGAACTCAAGAGACAAGAGTCTGCGTATTTATCATTGCAAGGTCAAATGGAAAATATTGAACAAAAATATGAGGAATTGGAACAGCGAAAAGTTCAAAGCTTGTCAAGGTGGTAACAAATAAATGGTAGTAACTACGAAAAAAAGTGTAGTTTTAACGGTCACGTCTTGCATTTTTAGGGCTAGGGCACTTCGGCAATACCTGACCATGTTGAAACAGAGATCCAAAGAGATGATCGAATTCTTGCGTGAAGACCTCAAACTTTTGGACGATTTTGACAAAACTGTGCACCGTTCGAATGCGGCGGCTGCGGTCGATTTGGGTGATAAAGTAGACGAATTGAAAGATTTATTCATCCGATTCGAAGACGATGAATGTCAGCGATTGTACCTGATGGACTTTATGTTCGAGTAGGTACTAAACCGTAAAGGTATTGTTACACTCTTCCACTCGAGTGAAACGAAAAAGTCCTTTGGTTTAACAGTGGTCTGTTTATTTTTTGAATCAATTAAATTTAATCAACCGAACAGTTTCATCCGGTTTTATACAAAAATCGATAACTCAATATAAATTTTCTTCAGTATTTTATAAACAATTAAAAAAAAGTTAAAAAAATACAATACCCTCAGCACACTAGAATCAATTATCATTTGCGAAGGTTTTTATTACTTTTAAAATGTCACCATTTAAAAAACATAGAATCATTCGGAGATTCAAAATCAAGTCTCTTCTGTATTACTCCTTATTAGCCTTATTTTCGTAATATTTAAAAAAAAAATATTTCATACCATGGTATTTTGTAGAGAAGAAGCTCGAAATATGTGGCGATCTCAAGAAGATCGATGGAAGAGCGAACATGCCCTTCGGAAAATGAAAGTTGAAGATTTATTTACAACTATAAAAACCCAAGTATGTACCTAATGGTAATTTATTTTCCAGATTTATATGGGGTTAACCCATGGGTCCCTAACCTAACATGGGGTTAAGAACCTATGGTATTTTAGATGAAAATAATTAATTAAAATTTATGTAAATCATAATATTATTAAACGTTTAAATTAAAATTCTATACCGTTTAAATATGTTAAACCTTAATATAATTTTAAATATTTTTGAAAATTCACGGGACAAAATGTACAAAAAATAATTCTCATTTTTCTAAACAAACCTGAAAAAATCTAATGAAGTCTAAAAAATGTATTCCCTTAGTGTATAAAATAACAATTATTTAATTCTGAGTTATAAGTCACATGATGGTGTAAAAGTGTTGCGTAAAGGAGTTTCCAGCAAGTTGACGTATTGCTGATTAAATTAAAAGCTATAATTCATATTATTTTCGAAATATTAATAAATTAACTAACATCTCCTAAATCAACATATTTCCGTCTATAACTATTATTAATTGCTATAATTTTGATCTAATATCTCCAGAGTGTAAAGAATTTGATTAATTAGGATCAATGAATTTGCTTTAGTTGGAACAGAAAATTGACCAGTGTCTAAACGAACAACGAATTTTGATAAGTGAACGTGAAGAGTTCATCAAAATCATTGAGACGGGTAATGACGAACTGAAACGCTTGGAAGCCGAATCAGCTGAGTTCTATAAACTTTATCCAGAGTTTGGCAATAATGAACAATCATCGGTAATCCTCATTTTCTATTTAATATAATATATGAAATATAGATAATTAATATTTTACAGGATAATATAGATCCTACAAAATTTGAAAAAATGGCTCTTAAGGTCACAGACCGCGAACAAAAGTTGTTGGCTGAAATGGCTCGTATGAATTTATTAGATCAGAAATTGACAGTAAGTATATAACACAATACTCAGTGCATTAGTTACATTTAATGCATTACATTCTAAAATGTACATTAAAAGATTGATCTTTTTTGTATTTAGAATTATGAATTACCTTTTTTTATACTTTTATGTTACCACTTTGTTTCTCAATATAACCCATTTTTATCTCAGTATATATATAATTGCTTATTAATTATTATAACATTATATTTAGATAATTAACATCTTATATTTAGTACAATAATATAAATATATTATTTATTCACATTGTGACTATTTAAATTTTTACAACTATAAGAGGTAAATATAATTTTAATATTAATCCAACTTTCGGTAAAGATATTTTATTTATATTTTTATTTAACTATTCGTTAGGTCGAAAGAAGAATACCATAGAGAGTTTGATTTGGACTTGGAGCTAACCTATAAGCAGGGGTCTCCAAACTATGACCCGTAAGCCGAATCTAGCCAGCGAGAAATTTTTAACCTATCTTTAAAAAAACGTTAAATAATCTAAAAATATGTGTTATATCCAAAATCGGTATTGCGCTTTTGTGTCAATTATCACGTATATTGGCCCGTTAAGAGCTAATACTTTATTTGAAGTAGGATTTGTCGTTTGGGTTTCTATGCGTTCCTCAGTAGATTTACACATAAAGTTTTCAATCTTTTCTGTTAAAACCAAGTATAATTCTGGAAAATCATCCCCGTCTTTAACAAATATTGGCGGAGATGGTTTAATAGATGCATTTTCAATAGTATCGAAGTGTGTTTAATTTCAGATAGCGGATTTTCAGCAGGTTCTTGTGTGATTTATTTAAAACGATTGGGTGTTGCAAATATTTTTCTTTTGTATATAAGTTGTGGACGAGGTGATGCTAGTTCAGAATTTCAATGACGTATTTTATTTTTCTATGTGGTTCAGTTTTTATTAGCACTGTTTGTATTGATTAAGCATACATTTGCTTAATCAATGGCGTTTGTATTTGATCATTAATAAACATTGTATTTACGTATTTGTTTTTATTTGCATGATTCGAATGTTTTACGTTATCATTATTATCTAACATAGATATTAAACTCTATGGCATTGAAGCTGTTGGTAATTAAGATTATCGGAGCCGCCGTCAACAGACCCAAGATTTAACGAATTCTCCATAAATATTTCGTTATGCGATGCAAGACAAATCTTATCAGCAACAATTTTATATTTGTTATTTATATTATTAATATGTATTTTTTTAACAAATAACGTGACAATTATTTTACTGGTGAGCATAGAATAATGTAATAAAAAAATGACTAGTAAAAAAAAAAAAAATGAACACAACTTAGAATTTGATAATGGTGGAAGCAAACAAAATCGGACTGCTGTTTTGGAACAGAGAATTAGATTTGATACATAGTTTCAAAATACTGTTCTACATTGATATCAAAACAAAAATACATATTAATTACTAAACCCTGGTATATGCAATCAAATTTATAAAATATTCGCAAAATAATTTTTTTTTAGACAACTGAATTGAATTATTACGTCCTCTTAATTTATAAAAATATAACATATGAAATTTAAGATCATTGAATATTCTAAAATAATGGTATTTAAAAAAAAAAAAATCACTTCCATATTTAATTATTTTATGTTTTTTTTTAGGATCACAGAAGAAAGAAATCAGTTTGGTGATTACTTCTAATTTTGTTTATCAAACTTTATTTACAGAACCGAATTTAATATTTATACAACTCGTGTATGGGTTTTTATGTTCATATTTTTATCAAATTGATTATTAATTATTCTAAAATTATTCTAGAAAAATTAATATTTTAATAATATTATAGTTCTAGTACACTCTTTAATCTAATATTGACGAATTATAAAGTTATAAGATATAAGTTAAAACAAAAATGTTATTTTAACCCTGTGCAATATTTTTTTTTTATTGTTTTATTGAATAAATTTTTATAAATGTGATATTGTAAACATTAAATTATATTACTTGAGAATTAATAATTATTATTTTCTTTTGATAAAAATACAATACATTTTTTGTATACTTAGTGGTTTAATTGTAAAAATTATTTGTATTTTTAATAATTGTTTGTAATGAATTTTAATGAAATAAACAGTTTTTTTGGTTATGCACCAGCACTCCATTAGACATTAACTTTTAATCTATTATTATTATTATTATTTTAATATATAATATGCACTAAGATATTAATATTATTTTATTTTATATTACATTATGAGACAAGCCCATTACAGATAAGATACAAATGAAAATTAAATGTTCTATGGAAAATAATCTTTTATTGGAGGGAGATAGAGATCAGTATGGACAATGCACATTAAATGGACGATTGGAAAGTTAAAATAGTAGTTTGAGGAAAAGAATGAAATTTCAAAGAGAACATATTGTTTATAGTGGACAGAACCATTAAAAAAAAAACAATATAATGATTCAGGGCGGTCAATTTTTAAGGAAAGTAGGATAGACAGGAATAGTATTTTTGCTGTGTCAATGATCACAAAGACTTTACTTTATAAAAGATATATATACTATACTGGTGTATAGTCATGGGGTGAACAGGATATATTAAATTTATAAGCAGAAAACAGAGAAATTTTCTTTTGGAGACATTAAGAACAAGTCGTAAGGATTCTCCCCAAGACACTAATCGCTGAAGATTATTGTGAAGAAGTTGACAGTCAGAGATAGGTTTAATTTAGAAGAAAATTTTCATATCAGCAAAAATAAGGTTTGGAGCTTTGCATTATGAAAGACGAAAGCAGCCGAGTTTATAAATTAACCAAACAGAAATGAGGAGAATACCACCTGGGGTATAACTAAAGATGTGAAGTAGTCTAAAGCTGAGAGGACATCAACTCATTAAATTGTATTTATAAAATAAGAATCAAACCAAGAAAGGAAGGGTTCGCAGATGCAAAAGAAGTCTAATATTGGGAAAGATGATTGTGATCAATATGGTCGAAATTCATAAACCCTAAAAATCAGTGTAGGTTATATTAATTTGTCATAACTGTCAAAGAAGAAATAGAATATGTACAAGTGAAGACTAATGTTTTTTTTTTTTTTTAAGTATTCAAATGTTGGTTAAAATATAAAAATAAATAATTACAGATTTTCAATTTATTACACATTATTAAGAAACATAAAAATAATAATTATAATAAGTTTTAAATTAAACAAAGCAAATGCTCTATAAAATTATAATAGTAGCAAGAGAAAATAATATAAATAAAGGAAATTAGAAACAGTCTTTATTTTACATACAACTCAATGTAGTGAATTATTTCAAAGCCAACCTCTACCATAATTAATACAATGATCATCCATTCTAATCTAATATGATGTTTGTCACTCAAATTATATGACAAAAGTTCAACAAGTTCTAGGCAATGGTTTATTTTCAAGTTCATTGTCTGAAAAAGCAATCAAATAAAAAATACTGATATAAACAAAAAAAAAATATAATTGTATTACCTTAAGGCGTGAAGAAATGCTAAAATAATTACACGTAGAACGATAGAAGTTTTCTAGTTGTTCTCGTTCCCAATAGAAATCTGGTAAATCAAGGAGATCTGAACTTAAATTAATTTTGTGCCTCAATCCAAACAATTCACCAGTTTTTTTCATTACTTCTTTTCTAGTGATTCGAATAGGCAGCCCATGTTGTAGATCCTAAACAATGGGATGTACCATGAAAGGTACACTAAGTTTAAAGAGTGATCACGATGATGACCAACTCACTTGGGTCACAAACTCAACAGAATCTATGTATTCTTCGAGCTGTGCTTCCCATGTACCCAGTTTTACACTGTGAGCCATAGCGTTGGAGAATGTATACCTATCCAAATCACAGGCCATGCCACAGTCTTTTGTAATAAGATGTAAATTTCCCTTTTGAATGGAACTCCTCCTGGAAAACACAATGCAGACACCACCATTAAAAGACCTAGTTATAACTAATGCAAATATGATCAACATTTTGATGCAAAATAGCAAAAATTACATAAATATGTTAGAAGTACATTAAAATTAATTTAAAATATATAATTTTGAAATTTAAAAAAATTATTAAAATATAGTTAAAAAATAATAAATCAATAATTACCTAATTTTCAAATATTTTTTAATAGTTATTTATTTTTCAGATGTTCCTTCACTTTTATTTATACCTCATAGATCACAAAATTAATATTTTTATTTCTTATTATAATGAAAAATCCTTTAGAAACAAAGACATCTGGGTATGATGATACCACCAACTTCAAAATGTTAATAATCCAGATACATCATAATTAACTAATTGATTTTGTATTTATGATTAACAAACCTAAATATTAGTTTTAAATTTGTTCATACATTTCTTTTTATCATGTCTTCTTGGTCTATTATCACTTAACTAAATAATCTAATTTATAATAGTTAGTGTAGCTGAGAAGGTAAAAGATTTATATCAGATTGTTAATACTTTTTCTAGTTATAAAACCTATAGGTTTAAAATAATTAATAATTTTTAGTCATATATTATGAAATTTAATTTTAAGATAAAATTTTATTCTTCCTTTATTTTTCTTGTTAACCTATTTTTCTAACATTTAAATGAATATAGCTGGTAACTTGAGTTGCTTATTAGTTATTAACAAAAATACTTATATTTCCAGAAAAAAAAAAAGTAATTATGCTCCAGAATAAATAAATACCCTGTGCTTATAAGTTAAAAGCTATCAAAATAAAAAATTCAAAGCTTGATTGACATTACTCAGAAATACTTGAATCATACTTCCCATTTAAATTACAGTTCTATTTAAGAAAAATCAAAGTTCAAGTTACACAATTTAAATCATCATACACTTGAACAACAAACCAGGCATTACTTGTCTTCAGTGTATGTGTAGAACATAATCTCCTTCTCATTCTGGACAATGTCATCATTATAGGGCCCAATCTCATGTTCAGACAAGAAGCTCATCAAAGTATTAACCTCAAGGTCAGTCATGTTCCAGCCTACCACTGAACCTTCGCGAAAAAAATACAAGTGTCTGGGCTCACTGGTCACATGAAATTTGGACACTGCATGGATGACGTCAGGAGGCATAGGCTCTAAAACATATAAGTTATGATGTATCCTGCATAGAGCAAACCACTTCTGCCACTCATCCATTTACCAGCACTGTCGTCAGAACCGTTGTACAGACTAGTGGGCTGGTACATATTGGATTCTAAGAGTGCTGTATGAAGTTCTTCCAACCGAAATTCCTCTGACGTTGAAAAAGCAGATACACGCCAAAACTGCAAATAAAGAAGCAAATTTTTATTTAAATATATACACATGAAATATTCAAAAAACATTTTTTACATTTAAATATTTCACAAAAACAGGAAAATGTCTTGTACATGCCGTAAATCTTTTTTGTAGCATTCTAATGTCTAATGTCTATGTGTTGATTAGAAGACCTTAGACTTATCTACCAAGAGGTACACAATAATACTTGTCCGAAATAATGAAAAATAGCCAAGATAAATAACATACGACATACACGACAGACTTCTGTGCGAATTTTGTATTGAGGTACTCACCCCTGGTATCTGGCCGATATCATCCACAGAAATCGGCTTCCGCCTCTGAGTACGTTTCTTGATACCCTTAACTTGAATAGTCGCGGTTGACCCATTGCAAGTGTTTAAGTTTCGCAAATATCCGCCTCCTAAAAACGGACGACCGATAGATAGGTTCCGCTCGACACACCGTATGGCCGTCGTAACGATCACAGCCGGTCGCAGCCTTACGGCAGAAGCGAAATAAAACATTTTCTATAATTTATTTAGTTTTAGTTTTTAGAACACAAATTAATATTATAATAGACGAAGATCAAGCGGACACTTGTACGCGAAAAATCGTTGAAGTTGAACTCACATGGTGATAAGCCGGTGATCACTGGTTATCAGACTCAACAACTGTCATCGTCGCAATAGTGAACGCGCCTCACACATGCTGTTATTTCATTACATATAGTAACACTGTCTTCTAAGGTAAACATAATCAAATAGATAATCACTAAATAGATTACAATTTATAATTTATTTTTATTGTTAATATTTTGTAAATTGCAATAATACACAAATATTTAATATTCGTATACCATCCTACGGGCATTTTGATGGTTTCGAGTGCCGTCGTTAGCGAGCAGGCAACTTAAGAAATTGCCTAGAGCCTCGCACTTAAAATAAATGCAGGTGCCCAAAATTTGTCAAATTAGAATAGTTAAATATATTTAGACGTAAGAAAATTGTACTGATTTTGCCTAAGGCCTCGCAACGGTCTTGCTACGGCACTGCATGCGAAAGGTGTGTCATCGGTTTTCATTTTACATTTACTGTTAAAAATGTGACTTTAAATGTATTAGAAAATATAGATATTATTCAAAACAATTAGCTAAATAATAGCTAATCTATTCGAATAGATAGAAAACGGTCGGGTTACCAAATAATTTATAACTAGTGATTAGTTCGTTTTACCTATATCATTTTTTAAATTTATATACTATAATTACTATTCATATTATTTTTATTTTTATTTTATTACTAGTTTTATTTTTTATTTTATACTATTTTTTTTATTTATATACCTATACTATGATCTGGTCAAATGTATTTTGTACGCTTTTAATCTAAAAGTCAAGTAAACTTACGTTTAGATGCATCTACTATATATAAATAGACGTTTAACATAAACTAGAATGTTTTCCCACTAACCTAACCTAGTTCATTACCAAATTGTACAAGTTAAATATAGACAACATTTTCATAAAAGTTATGTACATTTTAATCGCTAACTTATATCTTACTGTTTATAATATAAAATGGATTGAATTTTTTTTTCAATATTCTTAGTTTGACCATAAAAATGAACACCAAAATGTTTACATTTTTTAATTCCTACAAGTTCACTGTTCAATTATAGAAAGACTGAAAGTAATTAGCTTCAGTGAATCAAATCGATTTTAAGTTTTAATTTTCAAAAATGTTCAAGCCAAAATCTTTGACCCTGATTGACACGATTAACTCGTTTAACTATTGAAAAATTATTTGTTACACTAGGTTGCGGTTTCAGGTCAAAATCGGGTGTCACATGTACCAAGTAGTAAGGGCGTATTTGAGGGGGGAGGGGCCTAACCCATGGCTCGTATTTTTTTAAATATAATACATTGATTTATTTAAAAAATGTAATGTATAAATAATTAATAATATAAATTACTAGTCTATCATTATATGTTATCATTATAACAGGAACATGAGCTATAGGTAATAAACTGTAAATTATTTTTAAGTTTGTATTGAAATAAAAATAGTTCCCCCCCCCCCATGGCCTCAACTCAAATACGCCCTTGCCAAGTAGCCGTTATAGTAATTTTTCATCGACTTAACAACAAAAGCATTCAGTTTGAATAAGTCTTACCACCGTAAAGACGAAGGATAGATCGTCGCCCACATGCAACCGTGTCTTTTACAAGTAGGTTTTAAAAAAAATAGTAAAATATTATTTATCGGAGGTGAATAACAGACCAAGCAAAAGCCGGTATTATCATGTTTTGTTCGGAACCAAGAAGTCACAAAAGTGCTGCCGTTAAGACGATTAATAAAATACATAATTAAATAAGCAGATGTGCTATTTTGATTAATAAAAAAATTGTTTAGTTAGATATTCTAACTTAAAGCCTTATTTAATTATAGAATTTTCAAGTTTGGCATATGCTTAAAATATTCGGATTCATTTTATATCTGAAAGTATTGTTATATAACGTGTAATCATTAATCATGAGATAGTCTTAGGGAGATATACATTTTTACTTCTTATTTATATAGTTTCAGTGTAAAAAAAAAATCAACGGAACAGAATGAAACGAGTAGTTTTAAAAATACCTATAGAAATATATTTAGATCGCAAAAAAGGGTCCTGTGCTGTGTGAAACAAAATGCTTACAGCTGCTAAAAAATTTTAACAATTCGCAACTTGATTACGGAAATCTACGCGAATAACAAACGATATACACCGATACACAGTAGCGTATTTACGGGGAGGTCCAGGGGTACTGAACCCTTTCCCAGAACCTCTCAAAAAAATTAAAAATAAACTATAATTCTTACATATTTGCAGAATTGGCTATGTTAAACATTCGCAGGGAAGTTGAAATTACTGTTGATGAAGTGATAGAGGAGTTGGCCAAAAATTCGAGACAACTGGAATTTATTTTATAACAATATAAAATATAATGCTAAATACAATATATAATATTACATAAGACTGTACGATTACTACATTATATATTTAGTTCAACCTCCTTCAAAAATTGCATAAGGACGTAACTATTACAATATAATATTTAGTTTATATATTATATTAATTATGTATAAACTGTGGACTCCCCCAGAAAAAATTGAAAATACGCCACTGGCGATACATTTCTAACGATTAAACGACCCATGCCTACCAGGGTCGTGGACTCATGAAAGGACTATGGGAAACATTTCAAACACGTAACCAACGGACTACGGTCAACTATTAGTCAACTATTGTAGCGGTCGTGTTACCCGACACCGTGGAATTATGAAAATATTAACAATTTGGCCGATATCAACAACAACAGTTTAACCAACGGCGAACGCAAAAAGCAAAAATGCTTACTATTTGTAGCATCAGTATCCATGGTGACGAGTGACGGGCCAGTGTGCTACTGACGTATGGTGAAAAAGTACACCAGCCGAAAGTGGGGATTGGACGGCCGGTGGGGGATTGTTTGAAAATTAATATATTATCCCTCAACCCTCTCGGCTCGGTCGCTCGGGGCTTCGACGTCCAACCGACACTCACACTGGCTCACTTGCGTCTTGCGCATGTGAACTTAGCGTCCGGATGTTCTGTGATAAAATGTTTGCGTTTGAAATGTCTTTAATAGTTTCTATCGGTAAACATTGCTTTTTCGGTAATGTTTAACGCGTTGCCGATTGTCCATTGACCCTTTGTCCAGTTACACACGGGATGTAACTCTTCTCGTTTGCGCACAATGAATAGTTAAACAGTTCCATGCAGCGAAAACACTGCTGAAGGTAGTATTGATTTTTCGCCAACTCGCAAAGTGGTCGTTGAAACTGCAAAATAAACAAACTGCATATACTTACACACTCACACATGATATTATAAAAGCTATAGCGTTTAAATACTAAACGCGTACACTGCAAATGTATTAATTACATTTATTTTTTTTGCACCAAAGTAGTGTTTGTAGATGTTTTTTTGAGATAGTACGATACATTCCAAACAATCAAAATGAAGAAAATGTTAAAATTAGTAAAAGGTGGAGGAAAGAAGGAAGACAAAAGTGGCTCTGCTACACCTTCAGGAGATGAGCTGGACGACGATCAGGATAGTACAATGTACTGCTATAAAATTGACTCCGAAGCTGAGGAAAAAATGACCCGATTACACAGAGCTTCATGGCATGGCAGCTTGGAAAAAGTCAAAATGTTGTTACAAAAGAAACCTAATGATGTGAATTCTGTGGACAGTTTTGATAGAACTCCATTGCACCTGGCAATAGCTAAAGGTTACTATAACATAGCTTGGGTGCTGTTGAATCACAATGCTAGCTTAGATTATGTTGATTGCGATGGGTTTACACCGTTCTTGAAGGTATCTTTTAAATATGGTGGTAGTTTTTTTGATTTTTTCTAATCTTTCTTAGCAATGACTTTGAAGAACTAAATAATTTGGTGTAGGTAATGGCGTAGAATTAAAGATGAATTAAAAATATATGTTGACATGTTGCTTTAACTCACTAATAATGTATGCTAAAATTTGCTTTTTATTAATTCATTACTTATTTTTAAATTTAAGATAATCCACAAAAATTATTAATATATGTTGAATGATTCCTACATAAGTTAAATTAATAGTAATTAATGATTTTCTATGGGTAATATTTATTAATATTAATAAAAAAAATAATAAATATTTTTGTATTATAATTATTAAATGTAGCAGATACATAATGTTTCACAATAAAATTATTAATTCTCCAAAGTCATTTGTTCAATACTAACATTTTATTAACTACAATTTACTATACGTAATATACTATATTTTAACATCTAATATTTAGCATTATATAAATATCAGTAAAATAACATTGCACGTATAGGCTGTAGAATGCGGTCAAAAAGAATGTGTTCATTTAATGTTGGAGAGAGGAGCTGATGTAACATGCACAGACATAAATAAAAATTCTGCTTTACATTTAGCTGCAAAACAGGGCTCATTCACTATAATATCTATGTTACTTAAAAAGGGAATTAATATAAATGCACAAAATGCTGTAAGTATAACCACCTAATGCACTGCTTTTTTACACTTGCTAAATGTTTCTCAAATGATTTATTGACTATACAATTTTTGCATCAAATATAATAAATTATTTTTTTGTATAACTATCTAATTTTAAACCATTCCCTAATGTTCATTAAAATATTAAAAAACATCATGTATGGTGTATATTAGCATTTGAGAAGTATGATTTATGTTATATTTATAAATAATGTAATATAAAATTATAATTTTAGGTAGGTGAATCAGTATTACATATTGCATGTGCTGCTGAAAATCGAGACCTAATCGAATATATATTAGACAATGGAGCGTTAATAAATTTAGCAGATAAACAAGGACGTACACCTTTGATGGTAGCAGCAAAACTGGGAAATATGTCTATTATAGATTTGTTATTAGAACGAGGAAGTCATCTTGATGCTCGTGATATAAATGGCAAGATAATTAAAATAAGTAATATTAATAATTATGGTATTAATTCAACATATTTTTTCTAGGTTTATCTGTGAAAGACTATGCATCTAGAGAGGGACATTCTAAAGTAGTCAATCAACTTTCTATGCAAAAAATGAGTGTTATGGCTAGAACTAGATCTCAGGAAAATGTTTTGGATGATTCAGACCAAAATAAAGAACCTCAGATTCAAGAAATCAAAGAAAATTCAAAAGATAAAAAAACTATTGATGTTGAAACTGTAATTGTAGAAAAAGAACATATAGTAACAAAATCAAATAATGAAACTATACTTCATGAAAAAGAACACAACGTAACAAAATTAAACAATGAAGATAATCAAAATGAAAAAGAAAACATTGCCTCTACACTTTCAGATATTAATGTAAATGATTTAAAAACTGAGAAAAATAATATAAAAGTACAAAAAAAAGAAAATACAACTGTAAACTCTAAAATTATTGATGCTGATAGTTTAAAATCAAAAAAAATAGCAATTGAAAACAATCAAAATGAAAAAGAAAACATAGATTTAAATTCTACACTGGAAAGTGAAGCAGATAATTGCTCAATAGAATCAAATAAAAAATTAGTTGAGAAAAATAAATTAATTGTAGTTGATAAAAACACATCTGTTAATACTGTACCGATCAAAGATGAAGAATCAGTATCTCAGTGCACAATGCCACCACCAATGGATCCACCTAGAAGCTGGGATTTCATACAGACTAGTATAATGCACACAACAGATGTCAATGAAAAGACTGAAAAAGAAACCCAAGAAAATATCGAACAAATCCCTGATCCAATTATTTGTTCAGTAAATACAGATGATTCAGAATTAGAATGGGGGAGTGATGAAAGTCTTCCAACTGATCCCAATCAAACAGGTCCTGATACAGATGAAAAAAAAGTAGAAAGTAAAAAATGTAATACATTTTATAATTTTATCACTACAAAACTGATGAATACAAATAAAAAAAAAGTTTCTGCGTCTGCAGACAGTATTATTGATGGAACTTCTACTACGAGTAAACAGGAAACTACTTCTAATAAACATGTTAGAAATAAATCTTTTACATCACTAAGAACTTTTAAACTTACTGTTCCATCAGATGTAAATAAAGCATTATATCAGCTTAGCCCAGAAATGAATTTTGCTCATTCTTCATTCAGTAAAAGCAAATCTTTTAATGAACATAAACCAATTGAAAATATTAAAAATAATTCTTTAGAATTTGAACGTTCTAAATCATTATGTTTAGAAATAAAATCTAAGTATGATGCATCTGAAAATCAACAGAGAGATTCGGATAGCCAAAGTGATGATAGTCTTCGCTCAAAGCGTAGTCTTTTGTTATCTATGAGAATGCCTAAAGTACATGACGAGCATCATGATGATACCCATTTAGAAGTTAAAGACAGTGAAACATCTGAAGACGAAGGTCCACATTATTGGTATAGCCCAAATAAAAGAAATGATAAAATTGTACAACAAGATACCATAATAAGGAACTACAGTGAATCTGAAGATAGCGAGTAAGTTTCATGTTTATATTATTAAGACTTACCTATGTATCCATAAATATTATCAACATTTCAATTTTAAGTTTATTAACTAAAAAATTGTATGAATTTCAGCTCTGAAGGAATTGGCCTACCAAAATCTAAGTCAACACCAGGTAAATATTACCAGCTATTAAAAAAAATAAATACCATATTAATAATTATATAAAATTTACTTGTAAAATAATTTATTAAAACAATAATTAATATTTTATTGTTTATTTATGTTTTAAATACTCAATATTTTTCTTATTTTGATTAAACTAAGTATTATTATTCATAGTTAGTAATTAAAAAAAATACATACACAGTGGATTTTTAATTGAAAATAAAAATATAATTGTAACCATCTATTTTCTGTAAATAAAAAATTATTAACAAATATCTATTTAATAATATACAATTTGATCTTACATGATTTAATAAAAGGCATTACTAAAGAACATCGTACATCAGATAACTCTGATACGGAGAATACAATATCATTTTCAACCAGCCATGAAGACATTTATGGAACCCATAAACGCACAAGATATGCTTTAAAGGTGACAAATTTTAGATTAACTCATATAGATTAACCTATATTTTTTTTGGAAATTTATTTACACTTTTTATTTTAGAGAACCGAATCGCTTAAAGCATATCTGAAAAGGGTTACCATTGATAAGGACAGATTACAACAAGAATCATCGGGTTACAAAGAAATAACTGAATTACTCAAATACAAGCTAGAAAATCTTAAACAAGATATATCCAGTCAAAATGAAACAACTAAAAGACTTGAAGAACAACTAGATCAGTTAGATACTAAATACACAGAAGCTTTGGATAGGATTCAAACACTTGAATTATCTTCAACCAATTTAGACAAAGAAAATCAATATTTAAAACAAATAAATGACGAAGTAAAGAAAATTTTATTATTTTGTATTTTTATTTCAAACACAATATAATTATATTTTATTATCAGCTTATGGACAAAATAAATAACATATATACTTCTAGCAGTACATCTAACCCAGTTAAAATATCAACTGTAAGTCTTATTTCAACATTTATTTTAAATGAGTACTTATAAAAATTAATATATACTATAACTTATAAAATTTAATTTTTCTCTAATTTTTTTGTATAGAAACATGAATCAGACAATATAAATGATCAAACCGATAATAGCAAAATAGTTGTAAGTGAAGTATTCTTACATATTTATATATATAATTCATTTGAGGAAAGACACTTTTCTATATTAGTATTATGTTATTTTTTAAGTTTCTTACCTCAAATAAATCATTTTATCCATGTATTATATTTATCACATAAATCTATAAGTTTCTAAATTAAATCTTAAACTTAAAATAAATGTAATATATAAATATATTTTATTATTTTATTCAAATTTAAATTATTTAATTAATTTATTAAATATTTTCAAATTATTATTTTTGAGTTATATATTTTTATGGTAGATACAACAACTCCAAGAACAATTAAAAATAGAACAAAATAGACGTAAAGAACTTGATGAACGTGTTAGATTATTATCCGAAGAAGTTAGTGCACATAAATCTTGTAGTTCAACAGTAGAATTACTTAAAGATTTACAATGTAAAATAAATAAAGATTATGTACCCAAAAAAGAAATATTGAAATTGAAAACTGAGCAAGAAAGGAGAATCAGTAAAGTGAAAATGGAATCAGAAAAGAAATTAGCAGACAAATTTTATGATTTAGATAAATTATTATCTCAACAAGTAAGTGTATTTTAATAAATATTTAAATTTATTAATAATAATTTCTTAACACGATTTATTTATATTTTTTTTTATAGATGGACCAACAAGGAAAATTAGAGATTCAAAGAGAAAAAATTGAAAGTCAATTAAAGCAAGAGTTTGAAAATACTAGACAAAGATTTCAACTTGAAATTGCTAAACTTCAAACAACATTAAAGAGTGAGTTAAAAAAAAAGTAGAGTACTTTTTTTAAATGTTTACCATTATCAACTTCCTTACATTTTTATTTAGCCAAAGAAATGGAAGAACAAATATTAAGAGAACGATGTGAAATATTGTCACAAGAAATTGAGAAAACACAAGACCAAAAATGGAAAACATTATTGGATAAGACTTATGGAATAAATAATTTGTATGTATGAAATGTTGAAGTTTTTATTAACTTTATTTGCTATTAATTTTTGAATAGTATCACTAAGTAATTATTATTTGTCTAATAGTATACTGTGTGTATATTTATAGAACTTAAATTTAAAACTTGTCTTGATTCATAAATTGTAGACATATAAGTTCACCAGAAATGATATTACCACTCTGTAGAACTCCAGAGCCAAGTCCCACTTTTGACAAAACTGAATTTACTGAGGACTCTACTAGTATATATCAATGCAATGTACAAACACTTCGAAATGAACTAGATAAAGTTATAACACAGAATAAAGATGGTAAAGTTGACAATAATATGTTTACTCATAGTTGTGAAAGATATTAAAATTAGGATTAAAATATATGTAATACTATACAATTTATTTCTTACAGCTGCTCTGGAAGACGATACGTCGGCTGATGAATAAAATCTATGCATTTTAATTGTACACTAAACAAAATTAATTGTTTTAAGATACTATAGTTTTTTATTTATTGATTGTATCTTTCTTTTTTAAATTTTTATTAAAAATCTCAAAAATAAATAATACATTTTAACTACTCGGAAACTTAAAAAAATTTATGAAATGAAGTATAAAAAAATTGAATTATTTTATTGGAAACTTAAACTTTAAGTTATATTAATTAAACTAATAATTAGTTAAATTTATTCAATGATCCATCAAATAAAATTTTATTTATTTTAAAGTTTTGAACTCTTATTTTTATAATTCAATAGCTGATTTGACAATTCTTTGCTATTGCTATATTTTATTATATATTATTGTCTTGCTTGTGTATATTCATTTATTTTTATTTTTTGTTTCTTAGGTATCTAATAATTCGTTGTAGAAAAATAAGGAAATTGATAGATGTAAAACAACTTTGTTTATATATTGAATGTATTGTTAATAACTGTTAACTAACATTTACATTTTTTTTTTCATCCCTGTAACCAAAATACCAAAAATATCTATAACCTAATTTTATGATACATAGTGGAGTTATCAAAGAATTTCAATGCTTTGGAACCTTCACTGGACAACAAAGATAATTTTGCAAAATAATCTTGTAAAATATCTCAAATACACTAACTACCATTTATATATATATATATATATATATATATATATATATATTTATTATTATATTATAATTCATATTTTATTTATACACATGCAAATAAGATCTTCCTCGTTAATTATATAGGAACTCATTCCAGGGTTAAAAATAGGTTTAATGAAATTATTGCCATTGTATATGGAATGTTATGATTATTTTGATATTTTATATTTTAATCAATAATTATTGTTATGTTATTGTTTATTGTACTTATTAGTTCATGTTTTTTCAGACTTCCGAGACAATTAAAATGTATTATTGTTTTTTTTATAAAATTAAATTTGAATCGCTTAGTTATTACCATCTAAAATTTAATATTTCTTAGAATTAAACACGGCTATATTTGTGGCTTACTTGATAAATTAACTAATCAAAGATCTCATAATAAACCACTATTGTCAAACATTAAATACAAATATTATTTTTTATTGAGATAATAAAGCATATGGTACAACAATACTTCAACATTTTAAGTTGCTAATTTATGTGAAAACCTATCTACTGGGAATTATCGAAGTCATAAGTTAATTATTAATATTGTACCATTGCAGGTTTTATAAAAAATATAATATTAATTAATGATTATATCAAATTTTTACAACACATCACATTAACTGTCCGAATATTTTATTTTTGGGCAATAATATTATATATATATATGCATTTTGTAAGCCATGAAATTAGCATTATTATTTATTATATAACTTTAGAATTTCCAAAATGTTTTTAATTTTTGAGTGAAATAATTTTAAATATTAAGTATATTATGATTAATGTTTTTACTACTTAATTTATATTTAATGTTATTTAAATAAAAAAAATTTGTTTGATCCTGTGCATTTTACTTTTTATCCTAAATAATCATTTGAATAAATGTATTACTGGTTCATCTTCTATTATACAGATTTAAACATTTTTGACCTTGAGGTAGTAATTAGTCTTACAAATATGTAAAATTTCGAAATGGAACAATTTCAATATCCAGCTGTTCAGTTGATTTGTAATAAAAATTAATCAGTTAATATTTATACAAATAGGAATCCCGCAAATAGGAGAATAATAAAAATATGTGAAGGCCAAAAAATCCCTCTTAATTTCAATAATATGGAACTAGCAATATTTTTAAACATTCTATGTGTTTGTTTTGACGTTTAATGTATACATCTCAGTGTAGACATATTACAGTTTAAAAGCTATTACTCTAAAATTATTCGAGTAGAACCTGTAATGATGAAGTTGATTTAGTTGAGTTTATTTTTTGTTTCACACAATTATTTTGATATTTTTTCAAATTAATTAGTTGATTGATTTTATAATTGTTATTTAATTTATTTTACTCTTTGTGAAATATCAAAATCAAAATTCCTTAATCAAATATAATAAAAATGAAAAATACCAATTCAAATGATTGAAATAAAAAATAAATAATTCATATACTCACTGTATAAAAATTTTCCCCAAAAGAAAGGAAAAAATGTTTGATTTGACAAAGATTTTATATTATGAAATTTTCATATTTCCAGCCTTTCAGTATATTTAATACACAAATAATAATGAAAAATTATTTAGAATCTAATTTTGAAACAAAATACACATTCAATGTTTACATAAAAAAATTCTTAAATATCTTTGGATTGAAGGCTGATGACATGGACATCATATATTATATATCTGACATTCAAAATAAATAGAATAAATATATATAAAATGCATTCAATATATACATATATTTATAACGTGAAATACATAACTAAAATATGCTACTTGTCTCAAACTATCGAAAATTATATCTTGTATTTAATTTATAAAATCATTTAAAATATTTATATTATATTTATCATATATATAGATTATTTTTGAGGTTTTATTTGTTGAATACTGTTAGATCAGAAATTAAAATAATTTTACAACTGTTATTTCTTGTTTTAAAAAAAATTCACATATTTTATTAAAAATAAAAAAAAATATTTGAATTATTTGTTGCAAAAACAGTATTATAATTTTTATTTTTATCGCATTGAAACAAAATATGTAGTATGAAAATGATTCGCTCAAAATGGATACAAAAATTACTTGTATAAAACTATGGTTAATTAAAGAAAACCAATATAATACAAAAATTATTTACATTGATGTAAAATGCTTTATTGACTAAGTATAATCACACCAAAACATATTTTAAATAATCAGATTGAATTTTGCAACAATTAATTCAGATAAATAATCAACAAACGTATAACATAAGTATTCTCCACACGAAAAATATTATCTTAAAAAAAAAATAACAATTATAAATATTTTGTGTTCATACAAATATTTGTGTGGAATATTAAATAACCAGTAACCAAATTATTCCAGACATTTGGATTATTTGGAATAGATGTTAAACAAATAAGTGATACCATTTAATGAACATAATAAAAAAAGTTGTTGCTTTGATCAGAACACGATATTATCTAATCAAAGAAGTACATTTCAGCTAGGGTAAATACTTTATTATTTTATAATTAGTTTAAAAAAAAAACTGAAAAAGTATATTTTATTTTAATATTTAGTTATTTTTTTTTAAGTCAATTAAAAAAAATGTATAACGTCCAGTTTTAATGCAATTGATCATCTAATCTACCTTGATAAACTAAAGTGACCAGTAGTTTTCAATGTATAATGACCATCCCCACATAACTTCAACTTGTAACACAACATTTTATTTAAAACATAAAATTAAAATAATCTAATAATTAATAAAATATAGAGGGAATGAGGGAATGAGTAGGAAATTTCACTCAACATTCATATTATATAAAACATATCTGACCAAATAAATAAATAATGCAAAGCCAACCATTACAACACTGTTATAGATAACTGAGTGAAAAATATTGTTTTCTGGTTGGCTACTATCTGTGCTTGGCAATTGTTCTTCACTAGCTCTAGCTAAATTTCGTTTTTCTATTTCTTTTTGAATTGTCTACAAAAAGATAAATATAAATTATTATTATAAATGCATAGAATTTTATGTTTACTGATTTTACCACGGTAAGATCTGGAAATAGTTCACAGAAATTTTCGTCACGTACATTTGCTTCTAAACTCTGAGCAGCCAGCTGACGTCTTTCATAATCAGTCATCTCAATGCTACCCATTGTAGGGCTATTTTCCAACTGAAATAAATATAAGCATAGAAGCGATTAAATTGAATTTGAAAGACTTGTGACTTAAAATGATAGTTCTTACCATGAAACTGAGCAGTCCAGTAAGTATGGTAGATACGCTCCAAGCCGGATTCCATGTGTCTGGATGGTAATCACTAATGGACAAACACAGGCGAGTGTTGGTTTTAAATCTACCATTGGGCGTCACCATGTAAATGCTGGGTGGTTTAAATGGAAAGTCCCTGGGGAACACAAGCCTTCCCAAATAATAACCACCAGCATACGGCGAATCATCGGGCCCACTTACCACATAATACCTGAATCACACACAGAATAGTTTCAATCACCAATTATTAATAACACTTTTCCATTCGCACAGCATACCACTCCAATATATTAGACGGGTTTGGTTCAGCAACTACATACGGCACTGGATCATTTTTCAACCGTACGTAATCTTGTTTCAGACGAAGTGTAGCTGATGAAGTCTTAGGTGCCATACTCTGTTCAAACGAATTAGGTGAGTGCGTGTATGTTTAATATGTACGTTGTGTGCGTTAGAGGATCGAAAATAGCAGTGCTGTGTTCAAGAATATGTAAACATCACTAAATGGCAACAAACATGTATCGAATACGTGATGTATGTAGACGTCGAGCAATCAATTTATGATCGCTTCGAACAATCTATTACAATCATAACCAACACAATATCAGACATTAAATATGTGGTGGAAATTGATACTTTCGGGAATCAATTAAATCTCAAAAATTAGAATCTACACAAATAACAAGAACAAAAATTGATATTTAAGATTTCGAGAGTTATTGATAAGAGATTAAAAAATATATATATGGAATAAAAAATACGTACCTCGGTGCTGAGCATAGACACGTAAAAGTTATCTTTATATGTCTATGGTGCTAAAGCAATGAGCGGGTTATAACGAATTCGTGGGCTACTCAGAGTATATTTACTTTTGATCTTTACCTGTGGTGGGTTTGACGGGAAGAACATGAAGCTATCATATGAGTCGTCCAGTTGCAAAAGGTAGTATGTCCATATTTTAGTTGCAAAAGGGAATATGTCCAATTTTAAATATAAATTATTTAAAAAACTACTTATCCACGATTTCTATAGTCTAAAAAAAGTAAAATATTTTTTTTTTATATATATTTATGGAAAAAAAATGGTGACGTTTTATAAAATATTAATGGAAATATCAGTTTTTTGCTGTTTGTGAAAACTTTATTTGTTTGGACATACTACCCTTTGCAACTGGACGACTCATATGGGTCTTACTATTAGCCGAAAATGATTTCACAGAGACATCGTCAAAATAAAAATTAGATTTGGTGAACAAATAATTTATATAAATTATTAATATATATATATATATATATATTGATACACCGCATCACATATGACATTATAATGTACAAACTGTCCTACGAAAAAATAATTACGTATATCTAATAATTCCCTTCGTGTCGTCTAGATTGAGTCTTCCTTCAAATCTCCTAAATAAACCATACAGGTAATCGGTACCTACTGAATAATAAATACATGGGGAAGAAAATCTGAAATTCAAGTTCTTTATTAACGTTAAGACTTTCTTTAGTCTTTAAATAAATGCTGCGAACAACAAAACCTTAACACGGAAAAGAAAATGAAACCCCTAATCGTGCAGTACGCCATCTTAGGTTAAACTTTTATTAATACGTTTTCATTTTAAACATTTAGAACGATTCTTCAAATTTTTCTTCGCGTAATTTTCCTACAAATTTATCGTAAATCTTACCATGATTTGCGTCTTGTCTTTTAATGTTTCATGACGGATACACTTTGTTTACAGATCAAACATATTGGAAGAGAATAGAATTAATAAAAAAGTATGCATAGCTCCATTTTTCTTGAAAAGTCCGTCTTGGTCAATTTTACGTTTCATCGTTTGACTGGACGTCAGATAATATTTTATATAGATATTTAGGATGCATAAAAAAAATTTTTTTGTTCAAAATGTATTTTTATTGCGGGCCATATGGTCACATATTATGTGACCCACGGGCTGTATGTTTGAGATCACTGGTATAGATAAAACCATAAGTTGAACAATTTTCAGGGAAAAAGGTAAACCACTTACTCAACTCATACTTTTACTAGAGAATAAAATAAATACCAAATTAGAGTAAAATAATTTCATGTTCTGAATTTTAGGGAGATTTAAACAAACTGATGCCCAAGGTGCAAAATGCCATAATTCAGTACAGTGTAAAATTAAAAGTTAAAGTACATTAAATTTGAAGTAGCATTCATTCATTTAATACACTAAACATTAAAGAAAATGTTTATTGAATACCAACTTCAGTTTGATTTGAAATTTATTAGGTAATGACAATTCAATAAAGGTCAAAGATTATAGTTAATGAATTATAATATATATATAATAAAATAATGAAATACATTAATTTATATAAAATAAAAAACAAAGGTAAATATGAAAAAGGTGAATTTAAGGGAAATTATTATAAAAAATAAAACAGATTTTACAACTGTAGTGGTGATATTTATTTATTTTGAGAATAAATGCAGAATTACCAAAATTTATGTCATATATTAATGCTTGTTAACTATATTACAATTACACTATAACTACTGAAAAAGCAATTAAAATTGTAATTATATAGGGTGAAAAAGCATTTTAACAAATGTTTTTATATATTCTCATTTAAAAGATCTGTATCTAAATGTTTCCACCACGAAGACGAAGTACCAAGTGAAGGGTGGATTCTTTCTGGATATTGTAGTCAGACAATGTGCGGCCATCTTCTAATTGTTTTCCAGCGAAGATCAATCGTTGTTGGTCTGGTGGAATTCCTTCTTTGTCTTGAATCTTGGCTTTTACGTTTTCAATAGAGTCCGATGATTCTACTTCCAGAGTGATGGTTTTTCCAGTCAAAGTTTTCACAAATATTTGCATTTTGAAACTAAAATTAAAGTAAAAAATATTACTTAGTCATAATATAATAAAATTGTTATATAATTGATTCTTTAATTTTAAATATGTTCAAAATAAACAAATATGTTCTTATTGTCTATGGTCTCCATATGGATTGTATTGATTTTGTTTAAATCAATGAAAAGTCTATCAAATAGTTATAGTTATCTAAAAAACCTAAGATTAAATAGGCTAAGAGATGATATTTTTATACTTAAGTAAATAAAAAAAATATTTATAATAATTGATTAATATATGGGTAAATATATTTTAATTTTAAAATTATATTTGAGATAAAGTCTTCAAGTGATTTTTAACTTAAATTATTAAATTGGAACAATATCATATTTAGAATTACAGTGGAGGGTCAATTATCCAGACTACAAAATTTGAGTACAAATTTATTTTTAGTTTAATTTAATTCAGTTTTTATTTGTTATGTTATATCATGTATTATAATGTTATAATATATATATGTGTGTGTAATTTTTATATTATTTATGAAAATTATGTTTAGTATTATATCTAATATAATAAATTAGTATTTAACTTTATATTACAATTTTCAATGGTTTTTTGATTATCCGCACAAATCAATTATTCGCACCCCCTTCGGTCCTAATTAGTGCGGATAATCGACACTTCACTGTACTATATTTAAAAAGATGAAAATTAATTAATTAATTAATTTTTAAAATTATTTTTTTTTGATTGAAAATTAATATAAATAAAATAGAGTATGACTTTGGAGGAAGATACCAAGAAGTTATGAGGAGAATAAATGGTGGTGTGATAAGTTAAGAACTTTAAATATTTAGGAACGTTTGTATAAAAGGACGAAAGCTTTGAAATAGATATATAACATAGGATTAAATAGAGTAAGTTGAAATGGAGAGAAGCATTGGGCGTTTTATGTGATAGGAGAATCTCAATGAAGTTGAAAGGTAAATTTTATGACAGAATAATAGAATAGAGGAGTATATGTTGTGAAAATAAGAATACTTTGAATGATGAATGGAGTGATGAGAGAAGATAGAATAAGGAATGAACATTTAAGAGGTAGTATTGGCATAACATCTATAGTAGACAAAATGGGAAAAAATAGACTAAGGTGGTTTGGACATGTGATGAGACGAGAAAAACAAATGCAGTAAGTTGTTATGAAAATGAAAGTTGTAAGGAAAAGAGGAAGACCAAAAAGAGAGATGGTTGGATAAAATCGACAATGATATGAAGGCTGTAGGTGTGTACGTAAGGGATAAAGAAATATAAACAAGTGGAGATTTAAGACAAAGGTGGCTGACCCTAAATAGTTGGGGAAGACGTAAGAGAAAAAAAATAAGAGGAACAATATCTTAAGAAAAAAAGTAAGATAGATTAGTATACTTATACATGTTTAATCAAAAATTAAATATCTTAAACATTTTTATAATAATTTAAGAATTAATATGAAGAGACGACATTATGATTCATGAATTGGTGATTCAGATTTCTGATTACAAAGGAAACCTTGAATGTATGACGCAATAACAGGTTATACAACACAATAAAACAAAGGCCAAATGACAATGAAAAATCAATAATTATTGATTAGGTAAAATGAAAATCATTAATACAATGGTTTTTACAGACTTCATAAGATCGAATTAACTTAAGGTAGATTTCTATCTACATACAAATTCTATCTACCTCGACAATTATACACACATGCGAATGAAGTGAAAAATATTTTGAAACATAACCTAGACAAAAAAGTTACAAAATATTAAATCGTTCATATTACCTTAGAATGCGTTTCGTATTCACTTGAAATTTGTTATTTAATTTTTAAAGGAATTATGACTTAATTATTCACTTAGAATTTGAAAATAACTATGAAAACTTTGAAAAAAAAAAAAAGAGACAAATAGTAAGCAACAGAACGACGAACGTTCTTCCTTGGCAGCAACAAGAAACGACTGTAAAGTTAGGAGAATATTACTAAGCCATAACGTAATACACGGTCAATAATCCTAATTATTGTGAAACACATCAAGTGATGATTTCAAAACCAAGTACTTCATTCGTGGAAAGTACAGTCGATGAAGCATAATACAGAAAATTTCTCCAATCGCAACGGTTGTTACTTTTTGATTCCGTGCATGCGCAGTTTCATATACGCATTCTTATTTCTTATCAAATCATATGGTAACTCTTATCAGTGGTGAATTATATTCTTTTTTATAATTTTATGGGTATTTCGTTTGGTAAACAAAAATATTATCATTACTCTTGGTATTATTACTCAATGCCCTTACTCTTGTCATGAAAACAATGTCAACTGAAATCAGATTCTATTTTTATGATATACGTTTAGTATTTAAGTTGTCTTGATGCGTCATGGACGTTTTTTAACGGCAGTTCCGTTATCAATCCAGGTTTTTTTTTTGAATGTCTCTCCGACTCTCAGTGAACATATTTTATAGAAATGGTATGGCGTTGTTGCGTTTCCGCCGTACCAATGATATTCAGTTACTGGTGCGTACCAGGGTGGCACCACGAAACGCTCACACCCTAGCAGTGAATCCAATCGTCAGTAACCGTTGCAGCCCACAGAGTTCTGGCTGGCAAAACCGATGGAACCTTGCCAGGAGGGCATTTGTTGACAACCTGCTGAGTCGGGTAACTAACTCTTTGTCAGCCGACCTGCGTAGGCGTACAGCTAGACAGCTTATGTATGGAAACTCTAGACCATTTTTTGCCTTGGTTGGAATGAGCCTAGCTTCTGGTAATGGTATGTTAACTAATGACAATCAGCTGGAAGGTGTTTGTTGGGAAATCAGGGTAAATATTTTTTTTATTTTTATAAAAAAATTATATATAATATATATAATTATATTATTTATTATATTAGTATTTGTAAATGTATATATATATATATATATATATATATATATGTGTGTATTTATTTATTTTTTAGGAAGCTGTTGGTCGAATGCAAAAGAATTTAACAGTTGCTGAAAGATTAATTTTAAAATCATCATTGGGCTTAAAGCAATTTGAACTAGGATCTGTCATTGCCAAAGGAAATAATGCAGTTATATATGAGGCACGAAAAATAGAAGACATAGGTATTTATCATTTTCATAATTTTGTTTGATAACTACCTTATATTGTTATTACATATTAATTTATTATAATATATTATAACACATTTTTAGCCTGAAGTATCAATCATATTGTAATTAATAGATAAAAAAGGCAAGACTTCTAGGTCAGAAGTGATACAGATGTTGGTAAATGGTATTACTAAATTAGTTTTTAACTTAAAAGCATTGTAATATTATTTTCAAAAAATTATTCTGATTGAAGAAGTTGGGTAGATCAGTTAATATTTCTGAATTTAATATAATAAATGAACCAATTTTTTTAATAAGTTAGGTTATACTATATTCTAATGTTCTAACTTCTATAAAAAGATGTCAAGTGCCTATAAACAGCACTAATTTCATTAAAATAATTTGAAACTGTGAAATATTTTTAACTAAATGACAATTTTAATTAAATGGAAACTAGTTAAAATATCTAATTTCATCGATAAATTATTTTAATAATATATAATATTATTATAATATATTAATTAATAATTATATTAATACAGTTGAGTCGCGATAACTCTAAGTTGAAGGGGGATAACAATTCACTTTGAGATACCTAACTCGAATATCAAAACTAAATCGAAACTTAGAGTTATGTAATAAAATATTATTTTAAAATGCTACGATAAAATATGTTATGATAAATATATATACATAAATGTTATCTCAACATTTTCTAATTTGCCTATGACTTTGATTATAGTATCCATGCCTTTAACAGATTCAACAAATTACTTAACAGTTTGTAATGATGACATTGTTTGATTCACCGTAATCATATTTAAAGTTCTTTTAGGCTCATCAGGAATTATTGTTTGATATATTTATATTTAATAGTAATCTATTATTTAAACCCATGATTTTGTTATCAAATAATAGTCTACTGACTAAAACATTATCATTGATTGTAGCAAGCGATTGAAATGTATTCTGTTGTTTGATATTAAGTTTACCTGCTATAATTTGCCAATCATATCCATCATCATCATCTTCATTGTTTTCTAAACATATATCACCAGCATACTGCTCTTCGTTAAAATAGAATCCGGTTTTTTTAAATGATTGACAATTGTTTAATAACAGATACAATAATATACATCAAATAAGCTTTTTTCACAATTTTATATTCAAGCTAACAAGATATTACTAATAATACATTAAGTGATATGAGAATTTCTAGGGAAATAAGAAAAAATTTAAGTTGTTAAGTTTTTTAAGTTATCGAGGTTTGACTTATCCCGACTTGACTGTAATATATAATTAGTATTATGTGACTAATTTAGTTACTCTACATGGTATAATTAATCAATTGATTAATGTTTTATTTGACTAATTTTTATTACTTACTTATTTTATTTGATTAATCATTAACTAAATTAACCTTTTTTTGAATCATTTTAGTAATAATAAACATTTTAACTAACTTTAACATGAACTTTATTAAAAATATAAACTAGAAAAAATATTAAAACATATCTAATTATATCATTAACATCATGAATGTAACTTGGCAATTTTTATGGGGAGCAAACTTTATTTAATATTGATATACCTACTATATACTTAAAGACTTGGATAAAATTTATCTGCATCTTGATATATTTTAATGGTAAATACGGATAAACAATAATATAATTTAATAATACATTTTAATTCATTGATTTTCGTTTTTATAGTTTATTAATCAAATCAAAAAATTATGGTTTTCTTTATATAATAATTATAAATAATAGTGAATAACAATAATAAACTTTTATTATTTTAATTAGTTATTAAGAGTTTATAATTTGATAATTATAATTATCGTTGTATTGTAAATCAATTATTTAAAATTATATTAATTTACAGATAATGGTGAGAGGTCAAAACAAGATTCATCAGTTAAAACTTATCCTTTGGCTATCAAAATGATGTTTAACTATGATGCTGAAAGTAATGCTATGTCAATATTACGTGCAATGAGCAGAGAAACAGTTCCATCTCGCTGTATACAACACAATTCTTCTAAAACTGATCAACAATGGCTTATTGGGTTATTTTTAGTTATTTTACTATTGTTTAGCTAGTTATTATAAAAAACAATAAAATGGTTAAATACATAATCTATAAAATTATTAAAATTGCTATACAAATTAACATAAATTGAAAATAGCCTAATTAGTCTGTAATAACATTATGAATCATTCTAAAATATCTCAAATTTAAATTATATTTATTATCCTTATAAATGTGTTTAAACATAATACACATTATTTGTGTATAATAGAACAGGCCTTTTTTATTATAATATTGAATATTTTATCAGTATTTTCTAATACAATTGTTTAAAATACTTATTATTATAGTTATTATGCTACACTTTTTTTAATTTTTGGTTATTGGAGATATCACATACATTTAATTCATTAATATTTCAATTTTTTTTTATTACTATATCAAGGATATTTTTCATAATATGTTTTCATTTGTTGGATGTGATAAAGATGTTGTAAATTTGCATTTCAATTTTATTTTGTTCATAGAAAGTAAGATTAATTACTTTGTGTTGTGCATTTATTTTTTCTCTAACTTAAAATTCTAAAATTAAATTTTTAGAGTATCACATATAAAAGTTATTACATTAAGATAAATATAAACCTTAATAAATAACATGTAGGTATTTTGGTGGCACTATACAATGATATTTATACTTATTCCATATTTATTTTATCTTGGATTGCTGAATTATGTGCTTTCATATTGTGAAGAAAAATATTCTTTTAAAGATAAATCTTTAATTTGCAGGTGGTTATCTAATATAATATAAAAAAAAAAAAAATGATCTATTTGTATCTCAATTAATTTTGAAATACAAATACCCTTTTTTTTTTAAATTGTATTAAGTATATTAGAAATCGCTATAAATATTATAATTAAATATTCATGTAATAATAGTTTGACTTTATTTTTATTTATTATAATGGTAAAGTATTTTATAAAATCTTAGAAATTCATTTTTCTGATGCCCTTGCAAGACAAGAATATTCAATCTTGAATATTGTTTAAACATTGAAATTTAAGTTATTTGTTTAGTAAATGGTTTATATAATACTAACATATAATTTATGCTTTGTTTTTATAGTTATGAAAAAAATTTAATTACATTACCACCACATCCAAATATTGTTGTGATGCATTCGTGCTTTGCGGATTATGTACCAGAATTAATGGATTCTCATTCATTATATCCTCAAGCTCTACCTACTAGAATTAATCCTGAAGGCTATGGTCGAAATATGAGTTTATTTCTTGTTATGAAAAGGTAAAATATCTGTATAAATACTGTTAGAGTAATTATTAAATGTTCCTTTATAATTTAGGTATGGTATGAGTTTAAAACAATATTTAGCAAAAACAAAACCATTAAGTATTAGGGATAGAATTATTTTACTTGCACAATTATTAGAAGCTGTTGCTCATATGTCTAATCATAACGTGGCACACAGGTATGTATAAATATTTAAAACATTAGTATTTTATTTTAATATTAATCAAATTTGTTTTTAGGGATTTAAAGACTGATAATGTCTTATTAGATGTCTCTGAGGGTAATGATGTATGTCCTACATTAGTGATTACAGATTTTGGTTGTTGTCTTGCTGATAAAACTAATGGCCTTAATCTTCCATATAAAACTGCGGATACAGATCGTGGTGGAAATATTGCGTTAATGGCACCAGAGGTATAATATTGATGCCTTATTAATTATTTTTATTATTATTAGTGTACAATATGTATTATAATAAATTTAATTATCACAATTATTTTTAGGTTGTCACTGCTCGACCAGGTACATTTGGGTATATTGATTATTCAAAAGCAGATGCATGGGCAGTTGGTGCAATGGCATATGAAATATTTTCTGGTATTAATCCATTTTATAGTTATGAAAGAGGTAAAGCTCCATTATTGCAAAATTCTACATATGATGAAAAAGATCTTCCAGTACTTGGAAGTGAAATACCATTAATTATTCGTACATTAATCTACTCACTATTAAAAAAATCTACATCCAAGGTAAAACGGAAAAATAATTTTTACTAGATAACTTATTAATCTTTATTAGTTATAACTTATAACTAATTCACAAATTATACTTTTAGAGATTAGATGCATCATTTGCTGCTACTGTTTGTCAAATATACTTATGGGCTCCATCATCTTGGTATACAAAATATGTGATGCCTACTAGTAACGAAGTATATTAATATTATATTACATTAATAATAATAATTAATATTGTTCTATTTTACCTACTTGTAAGAACCCAAACATATGTGTAGTAGACTTTTGGACTTATAATACACAATTAGGGTGACTACATAATGGTAATGCAAAATTCTTTTAAAACTACTTAACTGGGTTTTCTGAGACTAATGTTAAATAAAACCAGTGTTGAATCAAGAAGGGAGCTAGGGGGGTTTATAGTTGTGGGCAGAAAGTTGAACGGGTCACATTTTCTTTTATAATCATTGGTTAGCGTTAAGTCACAAGATCGAAGTGGGAAAATCACTCTGATGCGTAAGAAGTTCTTAGACAAACTAATTTCATTGCGTGGAGATCAAAGTTACCCACTTCAATCTTGTGACTTGACGCTGTCTAATTTTTTTTTTTTTTGGAGATACACTAAGTCACGAGTTTATCAGAATAAAGTTTGAAATGTCTTAAAACTTCAGCAAGAAATTTGTTGTGTCCTCAACGAACTTGATGGGGCAATGTGTTATCTAGTGATGATACATTGTATGGAAAGAACTATTACCTGTATAACTAGTAGGGAAGGTCATATACCCGATATTTTTTTTCACTGTTAAACCTTAACTTCTCCTGAAGAGAATGATAAATTTGTTATGTTTTTTTGATAGAAATAAATTAAATTTATTGTAGATTTAAATCCTGCATTCTTTTTGAGACACCCTATGTATTATATAATTTTATACTCATATTATGAGTATCTTTATATATTAATGTATATATATATATATATATATATATATATATTTGTACACCAACAATGATCTCCAATAATATATATGATTAAATCTTTTCCCTCTTGATAGATAAATTATAAATGTAGTTGAGTTATAGTGATATACAAACAAAACACAGTTATGATAAACTGCATAAAGTTAAATTGTAAGCTGATTTTTCAAATATTTATTTGCACTCCTAACTCATTATCCCAAAATATTTACTATTAAATTAATTTTAATAAAATAATTAAATCAAAAATTCAATTATAGTATTTATTAATATTGTAAAAATAAGTTTTTAAATAAATACTATAAATACTTATTTAAAGTTGTAACTGTAATAATGAAATTATATTATTAAATATTTTAAATTTATTTAACTTATAAAAATTTTGCGTAAAAATTGAATATTTATAATTAATTAAAAATATAGTTTTATAAATGTTATAATTTTTTATGAACTTTGTATTATTTATCAGGTACTGCAATGGATGTTGTGCTTGACCACTAAAGTATTGTGTGAAGGTGGAGCAATGTTGTCTACTTCAAATACTAAACAACGCACCTATACAGAGTATCAATTGATCACTACATTTTTGCATAGATCTAAGTTATACGAAATCAAAAATGCACTTTATTGGATGCAATCAATACAGCAAGAGTAATTAATTTAAATTGTTATTGGTTTTGGTGTTAGTCAGGTATGTAAAATTTTAATAAAAAACATTAAATTTATACATGAACCATCTGTATTACAACTTGTGTAAAGGTATTTATTTATTTTATTATAACATGATTAACTTATGTATATTTGATTGTATTCATTGTTTGTGATATTTATTTTAGATAGATTGTTAAATATATGAAATAATAATTTGATTGTTGAATTTCTGGTGTATACTTTGATTATTTAATTTGTAGCATATAAATTATATGATTAAACCGATTTCTTTAAGTGTGTTTAAAATTTTAATTTTAAATAATATCAAATAAAACTGTAATGTAATAAAAATTAAATTTTAACATACCATTATTTATGGTATTTTAATAACTGAATACTTACCTATAAGTATATGTATATATGTGTGTGTTTATGTATGTATATATAGTGTTGATTTATTTTCGGTTACTGATCTTGGAGCCCTTAGTCCCTTATATATAAAGTACTTGAGAGACTATAATGTCAGATTAATTACTTGTATCCTCTCTTCTCTTCTTAGGCATCAAACATCTTACTAATATTTTTCAAGAATATTATAAACATATATTCAAATTTTTAAGATAATATAAACATTATATTTTAGGTATTTTACGAGAATTTAAATCCGCGTAGTAGCAATCTCGATAGCTGGGATTTAAAGGCCCTTAAAATATAAAACAGTTGCCATTTAAAAAAAATGCATATATTACCTAAAAACTCTAATAAATAACCAAAAAAAAATGAATTTAAACATAATTTTACATTAAATTATTTTATTTTTTACAAACATTTTTTAAAATAAGAAAAATATTAAAATAAAATAAATAAATATTAAAATTCACAAAAAAAAACAAAATATTTTTTTAACATAATATAATAAAATAATAAATATAAGTGGGTAATTAAAGTGAGCTAACGGTTATAAAGAGTGTCAAAATATGTAGGTACATCAATGCAATACTCGCTAGGCATAAAATGTATTCCTTGTTGAATTTCGCGATTAACTGAGTTTTTGTTAAAGTTGAATTTGTACAATTATTGAACGCATTTTTTTAATAGTTGTTTATAATCTTGCACACAACTTGCAGGAATTCAATTCTAAAATTTTATCTTTTGGTCTTAACCAATTATTCAGAATTTGTTAAAAATTATTAAACGATAACCTAAGCTCGTTCTGTTCATGAATCAAGTTCAGCGTGTGATACATACTCATTATATACTGGTTGTCTGAGAGAAAACTGAACGTCTCAAATAAAATGTCACAAATAAGATGTCCACACTGTTTCAATTCAGATTTGTTCTATGTCGATCAATGTTGATCCACACGAGCAACATTTATGAATGATGTAGACATAGAAATTTGGTTTTATCAAAACCTTTTGATCTTGACCGACTTTATACGGGTTCCAGTCGACACCCATCGACGTCAACTTGGGTATCGATCGTCATCAATCGATTCTCGTCTACACTTATTCAACTTTTTTAATCGACCAAATCGGTCGACGTTGATAAACGTAAAGCAGTCGAATTTTAAGACGAGAGTATACAACGTACATGTTAATATGGCAGCAGTTCTCAAACTTTTTTTCCGCGGTGCCTTTTTTTGGATCCAATTTAGCTACGGTGCCCTGGCTGTGAATAAAATTAAAGAGAACAAAAAAAAATCTATTGATAACCAATTTTCTTAGTTTTAATAAAATTCAACTTAATGCATTTTTAAACTTATAAAATAGATAAGTAAAAATTATTGTTATTATGATTATAATTATCATAAAGAAATATTATAAGGTTAAAATGAGAATATCCGATTATACTATAGAAAATATTACATCATTTATAAAGTTTTAACGAAAACAATAAATAAAAACAATTTTATACATTTTAACCTATTTGTTATGAACCGCAGATCGTGGTGCCCTTAGAAAGTGGTCATGGTGCCCCTAGAGGACCGTGGTGCATAGTTTGGGAATCGCTGCCCTATGGGAATACCCAGGAATAACGCGAGGGGGTGGGCAATAGGTGTAGTAGCCCAGGGCCCCACGCCTTAAATTATAATTAAGACTCCGCGGTTCTGATTTAACTGAACTTAAAATATTTTATTAATATAAATTATAAGACCCAACATTAATTTTGCCCAGGGCTTCGCAAATTCTAGCACCGTCACTGGGAACACCAATGAATTTAAAATTAATAATTATATTAATTCGGAAATGAATTGAATAATTTTTTAATACCTCGAATTTTTTTTAAAATTTATCATTTTTGGATTATATTTTTTATCATTGATTAGTAATATGCGAAAGTAATTGATATTAAAAAAAAAAAAAAATTGTGTATTTCATTTACGTTACAAATATCAAATTGATATATTGTTATATTAATAGTTATATTCTCGCAAGTGATGTAGAAAAAGTTCAACTTAAAATTTATATAAAAATGGAAATTTTAGTGAGGACGAATGTAAACTATTAAATCTACAGACCTTTCATCGGTCAATATTTTTTAGTATCTATTCAAATAAATTGTTGTAATTAAATAACATTTACATTAATATTTTCTTTTCATGTTATTTTTTGTCAATGTTCCTAACAATTTTACTTTCTCGAGTTGAATTCCCCCAAGAAGGCCCAAGACTTCACATTCTTACGCCTAGATTCCCACAAGTGTTTATTCGGCACTATTCTTAAATATATTTCAGTTTAATATAATTTTCAGTTAAAATTATTATACATTATCAGTTTTTAATTAAACACAACAAATTAATTTATCACAAATTTCAGTTAACTGAGACTATATCCCTCTCCCTCATCTTTGAAAATGCAAGCACATCAATGCGTACGAGAACCGTTGTTTTTTTTCTTCAGCTGCAACATGTCGAAGAAGGACGACGCTTTAATACTGAGAGTGTATGAACAAATTATATATATGTGTCTCGCTGCAGCTGCAACAAAGTGAACTGTTATTAATATAATATCGGTAAACTCATAATATGTGTTGTATGTGGAGTTCCAGACTTCTGGTCCATCGCAGCAAGTATAAATATTGCAATGCGAATTATTATTCGTAAATTAAAGTGTAGTTATTAACGTGTTCATTTTAATAGGTTAATATTTGAGATTAGTACCTTTATTTTGATGAATTAAATAACTAAATACTGATTTTTACTTTTATTCATAGTGACGGGACTGAAGATTTGTTGAATTGTTTTTTGTCATAGAAAAAAATCCTCGAAGTCTCGACTAAGGCACATAACACTACAGACGTACTTACTCAGTACACCTTGTAGGACAGATATTTTTTGAATTATCCTTATTAATTTGAATTCAAATTTAAGAGTATTTTAATTACTCAAAATTCTTAAATATTTACGTGTTTGTTGTTTGTACTTTATTTGATGAACATATGAGGGTGGCTATATGCATCCGTCCATTAATCCTAATATCAATATAATTAACGCTTAATTATTCTACATCAATTTTAAGAATAATTTATACATTTGTTTTTAATTTTAATTATCTTGGATAATGATCTGAAAAATTGTTCCATAAAGTATATACACCTAATAAAAATTGTATTTCGATGTATTTGGTTTTTTCGAACGTATTTATTTTTTGTATAGATTAACTTAATCTAACCTAACCATAAGAGACATAATAAACAAGCATTTCTACTTACTAAGCAAGCAATTAATAATTATTTACAATTCTATAGCACGTTTGTTATATATTTATAACAATTAAAACAATTTAAGAATTTGAAAAAAAATCAAAATAAGTATACATTCATAAGTTATTTATTTTATCTTGGAACGTAAATATTAGTAATATGTTATTTTGTATACAAATACTCAAAGGTTATAAAGACTCGTTAAAAATTATTAAACGATAATCTAAGCTTGTTCTGTTCATGATCCAAGTTTAGCGTGTGATACATACAGGGAAGGATTGGCCTATCGGGAAATCGGGAATCTTCCCGATGAGCCGGTCCTTGTTTGGGCCACTCTTTATTATTATATAATCAGCAAAAAAAAATTATTTTGTAAATTAAGTAAAAATGATTAAAAAAATTAATATATATTTAAAGATGCATTAAGATCAAACTTCAAGTTCAAGTTGGAACTGATTAATAATGTGACTTACCCAAAACTATTATAGCTATAATTATAGTAAAGTTATTGTAGATTTTATTAATTTAGGGGTGGGGGGGAACTAAACAAATTTTTAAATTGATGCAAAATAAAGCATTTTTTTTTTTTTTTTGAGGGGGGGGGGTAAAATAGTTTAATTTGCAGTTCATAAGCCGGTTTGTTTCATATTTTCTGGGCCGAAAATAATTGCCAATCCGCCCCTGGATACATATTACATATGATGTATACAGCTGCCTCCCGGGTTGTCGTGAAAAAAGATTAAAGGTAATAGCCCACTCCACTAGTCGATCTACCCGTTGATAAAATTAGAGGGAGACTCTTCTAAAAGAAGTGTTGGGTTGATCAACCAATATCAACTTAAAACCCAACGGTTACTACGGAAGAGGGGAACCCTTTCAAACGTCGTACAAGTTACGAAAGTGATAGCCCTTAAGGTTGAGGTGCCTACCTCAGCTGCAATGTTTGTGGGACTAACGCTCGATTTGATGTCCAGTACCGGCTTATCAACTGTGATGTGGAAGGTGAACGAACCCACCGCATTACGATTTCTAGTTAAAACCATACGAATCAAGTGAAACCCAATTGCAAAACCAACCATAAAGTTGAATACGTGAAGAGAGAGATGACATAATTATTATACATTATATGTTTGTATATAATACACTTCTATAGGTTGTGATTGTAAATCTTATGCCGTACGTTTTTATTTTTACTATAGGAAATTATTTCAGTGAAGTATTTTAATTGAAATATGACTTTGTTATGACTTTTCACCACTGTATGGCGTTATTGCAAAATTAGTGAAATTTTATACGTATATGTACATATATATATATATATATATTCGTGTATAAAATATAGTCACAAGGCGTCGGAATTAATGTGTTACGTCATGTTCAGTAAGTAAATAAAAATATTAATAATAAAAAAAAAAAAACAAATCACCAACATCTGTCATGACTACCATCTTCCCACAAGAGGGTCGTGACTTCGTGAGACAGACCTTTCTGCTAGCCTATATACATGAGACGCACAGGAGGTATAATATATCCCTTCACCATAACATACTTTTTATGTCAACATTTATGTGGAATATAAAATTAAGTGTTGTGAACAGTAGTTTTATGCACCACAACGTATATATTATTTTTTCCGTTCCAAATATAAAAGTATTTAACGCGTATTATTGATAACGATTCTCGATTAATACTTCTGAATGAAATATATTAGTATTGTTATGATCGGATACGCACTCATGTGTGAAATCAGTAATATTTTATCGATTTTTAATTGTTTTTTTTTTTACACTTTTGTAGTATACAAACCACCATTTTAAATAGGTACTTTCAAAATTAAAAAAAATATATATTAATATCAAGATTTTTAACGATCTAAATCCAAAATCACTAATTTCTAATGAGCGTAGATAATAATTCAATTTATATACACATATTATAATTGATTTCTCATCGGGTTAGTTTTGAATAATTTTTAATAAATGCTTTTATTATTTTTAAGTACCAAAATTTATCATCGTTGCACAATATTTTACTATCTTTTGTTAACACAAATATATTGGATCTTTTTCCTATACATAAACATGCAATATGTAAATGTTCATCAGAGAAACATGGATTTTCCATGTCCAAGTCACAAATGGACATTTTTTAGCTTTCAGACTTATTCATAATCATCGCGAGAGTCAAACGAATAGAAAATTGAAGCTTTTTAAATTGTATTGGGGATTCTGATAAAATACATGGCAACAGGATGATTTCTCATTTAAACTTTCCATTTAAAATAATTGCTTTAAATAATTCTTGTGATATTTTTGATACTTATGTGAAATTGGTTCCATGTAAAATTGCATGGAACATTGTTATATGATTATGTTATGCAAATTGTTCGAAAACGTCATGTTTTCGACCCCATAAGAAAAATTTAATTAGTGTAGTTTTTGGTGGCTTAAGTACTCTTTCAAGAACATTTTTTTCATTGAAATATACATGTTTACTGTTTTCAAAATGTTGTTTAAAGGTTATATGCGTTACCCTTATACTCGATATTACTTGTTACAGACTCTCTTTTGTCCTAATTTTTAAACAGTGCTTCTCGCCGCAATTTGGTTGACCGAGTAAAGTTTTCTTTCAACAGGTTTACATCGTGCCTCTCTGATACTCTGATTATGGATATGCATTAAAATAAAACGAGAAGCAAGCAAGTAATACTTATACGTTTTTAAACGTTTTTTGGTAGTAAAGTTTATTGTTACCGTGTCAATAAACTAACTCCACTCTGTTAGACATATAATTATAACATTCTGTCCTGTAATAAATATTTAATTTGCGATATTAATAGAAAATTAACAGTCCTATAGTATAATTTGAACAAAATCACATACATGGAGTGTTTGGTTATTAACAAAATCGGTTGAGTAGTTTCAGAGTCCATTGGACACAAACCATCGAACATGTCGTTTTTATACGCAAGATAAACAACAGGTAAATAATATATAATATACACAATAAGAGAAATTTTAATATCAACGAGTGTATTACATTCACTCCCGTAATAACTCTCACTCTTACAAAGGGTTTATTTTATAGTAAATCGGTGACTGATTTGGAGCACGAACCGACAACCCCGAGATTCAGAACCTCATGTTCTATCTAAAAAATAATAATTTACCTGTAACTCACAAGCTAGTAGGAAACATCAGACTAGAATGTATTTCTCAATCACTAGTGAGTTTTTTTGTCTTCTTAGTATTGTGTACGAAATATCAAATATGTATAGAATTTTGAATAACGGTTAGAAAAAACCAAATAACTTTTGTAAGTAATTAATTAAAAATGTATAAATCACGTATATAAAATTTAAAAATTGGCATTATAAGCATGAAGTATTTTTTTTTTTTGGCTATTTTAAAATATTGTTTCTTAAAAAAATGCCGTTATACTGTTTTCCACGAACGGCATGAAAAAATTGTTTACTTGACGTAACTCGATATTATTGTTCGCTTTAAACGTTTCACGTTACGTTATCCCGTTCATAATGAATTATCTCAGTCATGGATCATATTTTTTGGGCACATCGTAGTCATCGGATGAATTTGGTGCGTTTTCCATTCCCCACGAAATCTATCGTTATTCGTTACATTAATTTGCTCACATTATTATAAATTCATACGTGCATTGTCATAATAATTTTTACTCCTGTATCCACTCTAGGGATTTATAACGATTACAAAGATTACAATCCAACCGTAAAGCCTGCACCAGCCGGAATATTAGCCCCGGTGTCTAATTAGAACCAAATGCCGACAGAAGCAGTAGTGTCCATGTCCATGTCCTATGAAAACGACGCTCTATACACGAACCACTTATAAATATATATATATAAGTGTGTGTTTGTGTGTGTGTGTGTGTGTGTGTGTGTAATAAGAATATTAGAAACATTGCATTTGGGTTGTTGCGGAGACGTATGCATGCATTTCTACTCGTTTTCAACTCATTAAACGTATATTTAACGACATAAGCACCGCAGGATACATTGTTTTTAATGGTCTTCCAATATCTTCCCTTTGCGTGTAGTCCGTCACCACTTTATATTTTAATTAACTCGTCACTAATACCAATTTCTATATAACGTACGTGACGTCCTACCAATTTTAATGAGGAATATCGTCGTAAATATATATCCTCTTTCAGAATACCTAATAGTGAGACACATTTAAAAACCGTCGGTAAAAAGTTTTTTTATGTTTAAGTTATTTGGTTTTTTTTCATGACTATCCTGTAAAAAATATGTCTTTAACCCTGAGGTTTATAGTAGAAATAAGTGCATTTATAATTTCGTAAACTTTTTAAAAAAATGTAATAATTTACTGCAAGTTGTTCTTTATCGGTTATTGGTATTCGTATGGGAACTACTAACTTTGTATAATGTATGGTATACACAATATTTAATTTTTTCTCGTATATTTTTTACAGGCAATCTATCATCTTAGTTGAGATAATTATGCAGTTGGCGCATATTATTTTATCAGATTCAATTTCAAATGCAATCTCATATTTATTTTTGTACTTAACTTAAACTATTCTCCCCTCTCATGCCAATTAAAAACGTTTTCTTTACTTTCACTCACTAGCAGAAATTTTATTTTATAAGAAATATCACGGTGTTGACAAATTTAGTGTTTTCCGGAATCATAAAAGGCCCACAGGAAGTCAACATCATCGGTTACGTCCGGTTATAGTATTTTACCCCCTCCTTTGCAACATTACGCCGTAAATTATACACCACAAACGCGAATTGCAATCGATTGATCTGCCCCCGGGAATCGTGAGACGCGAATGTATTTTTAGACACTATTACTAATCTGAAGGCATGTGAACGGCCTCCTCCCACCCGATAATCGTCAGACTAAGTTTTGCAGTAATCGAGAAAAAAGTTGTCCACGCACGTATAGAAAAAAATAAACTTAATAAAAATTTATTAATACACAATGGATTTTATACATAAAAATAATAAATATAAAAAATGACTTAATGTTTAAAGTATAAAAATTACACATATTGTAAAAGTATAATAATATACAAGCAAAAGGAAAAATATTGCATATCAATACTTTCTGATTTACCAATACTCGCAAGGTTCCTTAAGTATTTTATAGTTAAAATAAAATTGTTATTCCTGATTGACATTGTTCCATTCGCCTTCCATCCTCCAAACACTGAATGCGTAACTGAGTTGTTCGTGAGCAACATAATTGCAAGATCCAGTACCGGAAGATGGTTGTTCTAAAACAATAACAAATCATAAATTATAAAAAACGATAAAATATTAAAAATGTGATTATATTTTCGAATGTTAGATGTGAAATATATTGGTATAGCTATCTTATTTGATTGAATTTGTTTTTAAATTTACACTTAACTGATGTAATTGAAAAATTAAGAAATATTAAGTTTAAATTGATTTTTATACACTAATTCAGGGGCGAAATAATCCCGGGCGGGACACCGGGACAAATCTCAATGGCCTATTATGATTAAATAGATTAAATGGCCTGTTAATATTTTAGAAATTAAAAATATAGTATGACGATATTTTAATCGACAGAATTGGGGAAAATAGTGAAGTTATGGAAATAAAACCTAATTATGTAAAAAAGGAATTACTTTCAGAGTTAATTTTAATATATAGGTATTATATTAAAATGTATACACTGTATCTATAAAAAAAATATCTTATATATTATATGTAATTTTATACATTTACATAAAATGTTGAAAATATATTTTAAATAATAAAAGTTTTTATCATTGTTATTTTTTTTTTTTTTGCATACTTATGACCAAATCGTTGGTCCCCTGTTAATTTTTGGCTTGGCAAAAAAAATTCCCGGCATGAAATATTAACTCATTCCGCCCCTGCACTAATTTAAATCTAATTTTTAACTCTAAACGGGGATTAAAATTAAACACAAACGATTGTATTAGCTGTACTCAAGTATTAAGTATTAAATTATTGAAGGAAACTAATAACTTAATTAAAATTGTTACAAAATTCGTATCAATACGGCTTTAGATTAAAGAAATAAAAGTAAACATTTCGTTTTCAGTAGACTCAAAAATATTTATCGAGAATACCTTTTTAATTACAATTCAAATTTCAGAATATCGCTATCAAATTTGGCTTAAATTTTTAACAAAATACTAATATTAAGACTATTCCAAACCATCTCAAATGATTCAAATATATATTATCAAAGCTTTTCAATCTAAAACTCTTCCGCTCCCTAATATATTTTCAACAATACGGTCCATAGTAATTTTAAGATCAAACCCATCTACCGACTTAAAACCATGCGTAGTGAAAAAATTCTATTTAAAACTATTTCACACTCCCTGAAAACCTCACCCAGTATTTTGAACACTATTGAACATTATTTAACACTATAAAATAATTTTTTTGTTGTCATAAGCCTATTTATGCTTGAAATAATAATTGAAAATTGAATAGTAGGTATAACAAACGTATATTTAATTGTTGTACTCAATGGACAGTTACACTTATATAGAAATAATATAGATATCAAAGTAAAATATTTTTAACATATAAAATTACTTATACTTCTAAAAGTATGGTTTCTTTTAAATATTTAGATTTGATTGAATAGTTGATCAATAGAAATAACTGATTAGAATTAAAGAAAAATGTATTTTATGGGGATAAAAAAAGTACAAAGATTGCATTCGACAAATTTCTGAAAATATACTGTTTAATATAAACAGTATTTGAGTTGATGGATAATAAATAAAAAAATAAATATTTGAATTTAGACTGTATAATGATTAAAATATGAAAAAAATTATTAGTTTGAGTTTGCGCCAGAAAATAATAATACTAAAACTGTCATACAACACTATAACATACTGTGATTCAGTAGTGCCGAATTCATTTTTAAGTTATATGGCGAAAATAAATTACCTAACTCACCCACTTCTTAGTAATATTTACTATAAACATTTACAGATAAGTACTTCATGTACAGACCTCTTGAGAAGTATACATTATGTCCGCAAAAATGAGTGTATACATGTAAAATAATATATCGTCACCAATGTTATGCTAATTCTTATATTACTATGTTACGTGCCCATTTTTACATTTTGAATAAAGCAAGTAATAATTTTCGATTTTTCTTTTACGTTAAAGTTTTTTTTCGATTTCCCATGGTTAGACAATTTTAATATTTCAATTAAATCTATTAACAATTGAAATTTCATTCAGTAGATACTTAAAAAATGGATAGTATTATAAGATTCCAAAATTCCAAAAAATAAGAAAATTAATGAAAGCAAATTTAGTTCAGGTATACAATACAGTGGATTTTTAGTTTTAATTAAATTGATTTTAATTAAAAAAATAAATATTTTTAACGATATTTTTGTTTTAATATTATTATAAGTATGTAATCAATAAATGTGATTAATTTTTAGTTAAATCACGAATTATGTCTCTATTTATTTACTATGATAATATGATAATATCATTATTTTAATTAACTATAATTCAGAAATAACTATACTTAAAATATCTCGAAAAATGTTGACAAATATTTTTTTGTGAGCTCTTAATATTTATTAAAATAATTCATACTAAATCACAAAACCTTTATCTTTACTTTACTTTTTAATTAACTCCATAAATCTTGATTGAATAGCTTTTCTTTTTTAATGAAAGATCTGATAAGTAATAGTATGAGATAAATTTAGAGTTTATAATGTTACCGATTTTATAAAAATAGGTACGAAGAATAATTTTTTTATTTTATTTTTTAAAACTTTTTGTTTGTAAGAAAAAAAATAGAAATAAAAAATAAATAAAATAGCTCTTTTACTATTTTTCAATTTACGTAAATTAATCTAAATTGTACAAACTTTTTACATTTTACTGAAGCTATTTCTCTTTATCAGTACACAAATATACATAAATAATATGCTATAAATATAGGGCGTCACCCGATTGCGGCACAAATTAACCTTTTTACCTTTTCACCTATCCCGATTGCGGCCCCTACATAACAGGTAGGAATTACTATTCAAGTGGTTATCAAAACCAAATAAATATCCCAATTGCATCAGATACGTATTTTGACATCGTAATCAACTATCGTTATCACGATTCACACGATAACCAATATTCGGCGTGGTAATTTCCATAGATGTATACAACAACTATTAACTATTTTTTTATTGTAGACAATTTATTATTTTAATATTCGACTATTTATTGACTATTTACTGACATAATTGTATTTCATATCTTTATATATTGTAAAAAAATTATTATTTTACTATTTTACTATTTGTTACTGCAATCTTGTAATTATACTTTTAAAATAAATATTAAACATTTTGTGAACCAATGTGTGTCTGGACGCAATCGGGATACTTATATTTGGGATAAAATACGACTACCTGGATCGGACCGCAATCGGGCAACTCCGTAAATATATGCATTTATGATATGTAATGTATATTTTTTAAATTGTATAGTTACATTCCAATTTAATTCGTTAATCAAGTGATTTGGGTCGATGTAATGCTGTCAGATTTTTCGAGAATATTAACATTTAATTTATTTTTAAATGTAACGACAAATATTATATTTACAATCGAAAACATAATATATATGTTGGGATAGTTAATGATATATTATTAAAAATCAATAAACCAATAATAATCCCACTTTCAAAATTATTTCCTACGCATTTTATAAAAAAATTATTACTTCTTATATCGCAGACCAATTACAAAATTGTAGACTTTCGTAAACCTCTTGACGACATTTTATCTAATGGAAAAGGTTAAGGTCAGGGGCGGATGGCCAAGGAGGCAAAAGGGCGATCGCCTCCCGGGCCCTCGATAGTTGCATATTAATTAACAGTGTACAAAATGTAATGTTAAAATATAATGGTAAAACACCAATCATTTACTAATAGAATATTCAAATTTGAATGAATTGAGCACAATAAATTAAAAATATTTATTAATTAAAATTTAAAAAAAATAGGTCCAGTTTACTCCCCCCCCCCGGGCTCCTTGATACCCAGTTCACCCCTGGTTAAGGTACCCATGTTTAATTTATATTGATAAAATAATCATTAGATGTTTATAAGCAGAGATTCCGGTGCACATTCCTCCAATAATTGTGACATTTGTCAAAAAATTATGTTAATAGGTATATTTGAAAGATAAATTTAAGAGCTTGAAATTTATATTAATTCAAAATTAATGAGAAGATATTTTTATTGGAAAAATATCATAAATTACTATAGTGTATTTCAGACCGTTTTAACACTTAATATTCATCATCATACCCATATTATTACTTTAAATTCGACTGAATAAATATTATTTAGAGAACTGTGTAAGTACAAAAAGAATCACATAATATGTACTAGATATCCTAATTAAACGTATCTATTTAAAGATTTTTTTTTTTCTAAGATTTTTGAGTTTCAAATCGTCTTAATTTCTTAAGGTATATAAATTGAAAATGTTCTTTATTAATCTAATTACGAATTGTTTACCTTATAATAGGCTAGTTCACTAGTGCCTACGCATTTTATAAACAAAAACAATTAAACACATTAGTAGATGTTTATAAGAAAGAACAAAATTTCGGAATAATGCCAGGGATATTATTAATTTCGAATAGATTTTTATGCGGTCGAAATGATTTCTAGATATTGTATAACATTATATGGTGAATCAGTCTCTTTGCGTACTATCAAATAATTTTAAATAATATGACTTAAAACTTATATGAAATATTTTGATATTCATATTAGGATAATATAAAAACTTATATTATATTTTATTAAATATATATTATCAACTAGTTTAATGGCTAATAAATGTGTTGTTAATCAAAACAATGCATTTTCTAATACAAATATATATTTGTATTACATTTCATCAATTACTCAAACATATTCATCAATTGTAATTATTTTTTTTTCACAACTTGTTCATGACATTATCTTAAAATATCTTAAAATCTTAAAATTATCTTAAAGTTATCTTAAAATTGTATTTTGTTACATTTTATATAGATATTATACTTTTATGACATTATAATTTACAGTCCAAAACCATGAAGATAATATTTTAGTCACTAAAATCAGATCAAACGTGACTTTTCCCTTGTTTCTTATAAAAGACCTCATGCTGTATTTATTTTTCCCTTATTTATTATTATATGGTAAATCGTTTGTGACACTAAAGGGACGTACGTTCCGAAACAGATAATCCTATTGTATAACAACTATACACGAATAGTGAACTAGAGACTGGTACACAAAATACCCATGTGGATTATTCCTTGCAGAAAGCAATTAAAAAAAAAAAAAAAAAAAAAAAAACCGAAACTAAGTACAAAGTACATCCGTTCGTACAAAACAAAAATATAATATTATGATTTAAGCTTGGGTAACTATATTCAGTTTTATTTACATTTAAAACTATAGTAGTATATTATTATGTACAAATATTAATTTGTAATCAATATTTGTTAAAATATAATATTGCACAAACTTGTTAAAAAATATCACCGATTTCAGGTAAATAAAATTTAATTTATTGTTATATTAAATTTATTAAATTTTCGTTTTAAATAATTTTCCAAGTTTAGTTTAATTTTTATTTAATACTCATAATGATAAATTCATATTGAGTTTTGTATTAGAGTACACATTTGTGCTATGGATAAATTATTATTTATGTAATATAATGTGAACATTGTCCATAATGATTGATTAATTATATTAAATAATAAATTTACAAAATGTATAATTAATTATATATATATATATATTTATCAATGTTGCTCAATAACTCGATAACTCAAATCTCTATAAGTTTAATTTTCGATACCTCGAAGGAACGCTTGAGCTCCTGAATTTCAATATATGATATGTGAGATACATTTTTTTTTATAATTCGAATTTCATTAACTCGAATATCTCTATGAGTTGATGTGTGTATATATAATGATTGTGTTCATAAATAATGATAATTGTAGAACCAGTCCAAGAAGAAAATTTAACAAAATGGGATCGATATCAGCAGCTTTTTCCTTAGACTCATGGAGTTAAATTTCAAAATTTTGTCGAGGTGGACTCTGATGTTATAACATACTATACTACTGATAATGTATCTTCAATGATTTAACGTTCAATTGTGATGTATATACTCATATATATTATTACTTAAATTTAGTATACTGATTTAGTGTTCATAAATCATGAATAATATAAACATTATTACCAACAAATACTACCGTGATAAGTTATAATTTCATATAATATTTAATAAATATTGTAAAAATATGGTTATATTTAGCATTAAGGTTATTGAAAATATTTATTATTAATTAACTAAATTAAAGCATACCGATGGAGTGCTGAGAATCTGAATCAATGTGTCCAATAGCAGCCACTTCGTCCGTGTTAGCCTTGTGCAGCACTTGATATAAAAAGTCTATGTATCGCGTGGCTAACTTCAGCGTTTGAATTTTCGACAGTTTGTCCGAAGGGAGAGTAGGTATTATCTTCCGAAGAGACGCAAAAGCTTCGTTAAGACTTTGAGTCCGTTGCCGTTCCCGAACATTGGCCATTACCCGTTGACTTTGCATTTCTTCGGGTGTCTGCGGAGATCGTTTTCTTGATTTTGACGGTGCTTGAAATTCTTTTGATCTAGAAGACCGTTTTCTACCTAATACATTAATAGTAACATAATAGTGTGGTTTGAAAATTTTACATATAAATATAATTTCTCGTTGAATAAAGAAAATAATACATTTGAACGCGTAAAAGCTGCTACTCATTCGATTTATATTCACCTCCGTATTGCGAATATAATTATACTTACAGAAATAGATTTTGGTTTTTGAAATTTTGGATCTAGGGGTCACTAAAATATTTAGTGTCAGAACTATACAAGTATACTCCGTAAATTATATTATGTAAATATCAAAATAATCTTCCGTTCTTTTTAATTTATTGATATTTTATTTAAAAACATTTTAATAATTTATAAATTACAAAAATTATTAAACAGTTAACGATCCAACTAGTTATAATAGTTATAATTCGAGCATATTTATTTTAAAATATCATGATTTAAATAAATGCATGTCCAGTTATGAGATATTACGTTATTAACTTTAAAAACATTGAACATATAATGCAACTATACAAGAGAATTTCTAACTTTGTAACACAATATGATATGTGATCCTAACTAAAACGAATCTATTACTAACCATGATTCTAGGGAGGGCATATTAGTGGTCACGCCCTTCCCCCTGGATTCTATCAAAAGCAATGAGCAATTGACACTATGACGGCGGATCTATAATAAATTCAAAATCTTGGGTATATGCAATGAAATATAAGAATAATAAACATTTTTTATAACGAAAAGCTATTAATATTTTTATTAGTCATACCCGGACTTCGTAGTATAATACTGGGATTTAGAAAATGTCTACTGTAGGCTACGTCTGCATGCCGATGAGGAATTTTAATACATTACGAAACGTAGTTCTGTATGGTACATCAATTTATAGTATATTATATACATTTAACAATTCATTTTTTGAAATACACAAATGATAATATTTTATAAGTATACTAATTAAAAACTAACATTCAGGATACTGTTTAGAAATCGAATCTTGAAAATACGCAAGAAAGTATAAAAAGTGACTAATAAAATCTAAGTGACAGTATCAAAATCTTCGCCGACAATGTTGAAATATAATTAATAAGTACAAAATATGAATTACATGACTACACACGTGTAATATAAATAGTTCGGGTTAGGGTTGTACCGGCATCCGAGCAGGCAGTTTATATATATATATATGAATTATAATAGGCACGACACACAAATATTTTCGTATAAAAAAGAATCATATATTTTGATCAAATCGACGAGTGAAATAAGTAAATGCAGCAAAATTTGACTGTAAAACGTAATCCACAGGTACTCTAACTGATAACTGGTGGAAAAAAAAGTCTCCACCTGTTTCCGTTTGATTGAGGTCATATTTTGTATTATTTGTTGGGATAAAATCGATTAGTTCCAAAAAATTAACGTTTTAAACAGGTTAAATAGACATAGTACACACATTAGTTTAGTCACTCGAGTACGTGCGATAGATCTTTATTCGTGGTTGTAAAATAAACTAATGCGACCGATTATGATTTATATTTTAATACGTTCACCACAGTTTTAATTCCGAAGTGATTATTTAGCACATTTAAAAATGATTATATTTGTCTATGTATATAATATCCATCGAACTATTAATATGTACTAGGTACTATAAAATGAAATACGAGAATACGCTCATAGGCATAGAATCTTGCCAATGTAAATACATTATAAGAGTCTCACGTTTAAAAAGTCAACCCCATTTATTTATGTGTATAAATATATATTATGTGCGAAATCCAAAAAATTCAAAAATTTGAGGGCTTAACATCTTTTTTGATATATGTATGGTCATTCCTGAATATACGTTTTCTTGGACAAATCAAGAAATATTTATTTCTCATAAATTATCAATATATACCTAAACTAGAGATAAGATAATATTTCATTATTATTTATCAATATATCAAGTGTATAACAATTTATTATACTATATTACTATGGTGTATTAATATTTAATGAAAATAGGTAACAACAATTTTTCAACGTTTTTTATATTTTTTTTTTCATCATGCCATATAATTAATTGTTAATAATTAACAAAAATAATTAAAACAACTATCTATTATAACATACGTCTGAGTTATAATTGTGATTATCATTATTATCGTTCTACTTAAAACTTGTTGGGTAAACCGGAAGATTATCAAAGAAAAAAAGTAATAATATGATCATGTTGAGAAACATAAAAACATTTAGTATTAAGGTTTGATATAAACGTAGCAAATATTGCCTTTTAATAATTATATTCTGATAATAATGAATCGTTTTCTCCTCAGTGCGTTCCTCATTTTTATACCTAGCCGTTGATTTTAGTTTTATAGCAGTTCACTCGCAGTTAAACACTTACAATGTTTGGATTTATTTCAGACTTCATTACAGAAATTTCTCATTTGAATCAAAGTCAGTTGAACATAAATATTACTTTTTGTTTCATTTAACTATTACGAATATTACATAGTATTATTGTGGATTTAAAATGGGAAACGCGACGAGGTACCACCTCCTATAGATATAATCGTAACCCGGAATACCTTTGGCCGGTGCAACATGTGCATGGATGTTATCAGGGTGATCAAATACACGTTTAAAAGAGTTTAAGAACAAATGGAGGGCTTCGTCTATCACCAACTGCACACCTATCTTATACGGAGAGCTTAATGATTAAGATGGTACAGGAAGGGCTGGTGCCTTACCTACTCACCACCATATTTACATTCACGAGCACGGGTTCATAAACGTGTGCACGTAGAACAAATACATATCACTGCGAGCTAATCGGGGGTGCACTTTTTCCATGCTTACCTTTTTTCGTCTCCAAGGAGTCTTGTTCCAGGTCGGGAGAACTGCTGCTGCACCCGCTGCCTCCGGCACCTGGAAAATTTTCGCCAACACCATCACCACCACCTCCGCCATCACCACCTGCTCCGCCGCAATCTTCGTACTCCGACTTGACTATGACGGGCCCGTAGTCGCCGTACGGGTACATGGGCGCGTTGGCGAACTGCAGGTCTTGCGGCGTGTGCCAGCCGTACGGGGACATGAGGTAATCGCCGTTGGGCTTGTACGGAGAGTCCGAGTCCATCATCATGTTGGCGGGGACGCGACGTACCGGTCGTCGAAATCACCTGCGATTTAAGTGCGATGGCCGTGTTGCTGTGTATACGTGTGTCGCAGTGGTGCGCGCGATGCAGATCTCCGCGCTGGAGTGCGTGTGCGCAACCGTCAACGCGCGCGTTTTCTTCGGCCGAAGGGACTACGGTGGTGATCACGACGACGACGACGAGTAGGTACGCGCGATAGAGATATGGCGGGTCCTTGAACGTGCTCTAAATTAAGAACACCGCGGGCCAGCGGGTGGGGGAGGAGGCATACACATACTCGCCACCGGCCCCCGCCCCACTCCGCGATAACGACGCGCGTTTACACGCACACATGCGTACGCGTTGGCGCGCGTGCGTGTGTGCGCCGTCTCCGAGTGCGCTGCACAACGGCACCCCGCCGCGCGCCGGTACGTGCGAGTCCGCGAGTGGACGCGATGTACGGCGTACGCGCATCTGCGTGCGCGGGAGGAGCCTCTCTCTTGCCCGACCTCGCCATGATTGATGGCCATCCCGAGACACCCGGCGCGTATCTTGTCTGAACGCGCTGCAGCTACCCTTAGGGGGACCGTATACTCTATACGCGCGCGCTCGCACACATGCACGCGTCGTTTGCTCGCACCACCGACGCCGCCATTCCCGGCAACTCGTACGGACGCGCAACTTCCTTTCGGTTGTCGGGCGCGCACCGGTTTTTTTTCCTCCTTCTTCCACCACCAATTGGTTCCTAAATCGGCGCGCTCCATCTGAAATCTAATATCGCCTTCGTCAGGGGGGGGGGGGGGGGGGGGCGACCGAGCAGCCGTTGCACACCCATTATTTCGTCATACGATTACGTTATTTCGTGCAATCACATCGCACATGAGAATGTAACGTGCCGTACGCTTTTACGAATACGCACGCAGACAGGGACTGGTTTATCCGTCATTACCTGTCCAGTAGAGAACAATGTTGTACGGGGGAGCAGTGAGCGTGAGAACGCGTCCGCGTACGATTGTTTATCGTCTCGATTGATGCGTTTGAATTACGTTTTACATACCGACTCGCAACTGCATTATATGCTTTTTTCGCCGCAGTGAAAACTTGCAATGTCCACATTTTTCGGTAATCCTATAGACTCGAAAGGATAAAATTTTAATTTTCAATTGATTCGTATTTTGTTGAAATACGTTGCGAACATTATATTATACGTGTATAATACGGATAGGATTATAGGCAGTATTGGAGCGCGTGCCGAGATATCGAACGAATAAGATTTTAGCTAATAGTTTTGCGTAATATGTGAAATACAATCAAAAATTTACGAACATTGATAGTATTATACATCTTATAAAGCTATGTATATGAATTATACACACTTAAGCACATGAATACCATAGAAAATGCATTTACCTAATAGTTGGTGCATTAATCACTACTTAAACAATTCAAAATTATTTATTTAGTTGAGTTTTCATTATATGTACAGTAATTTAAGTAAAAAAATACATTTAAATTTGGATTATAAAACACATGCAAAGTAGTCATAAGAAACACGAATATTATCAATGGCGAATCGGTACAAGGAAGAGTACAGGTAAAAAAAAACCAGGTGGACCAATCAGTGTGACTCCGTCAGCCATCTTTACCTCTATTCACCTGTACTCCAGGTATTATTACTATTACCAGTAAGGTAATTTATCCAATGACACACATTTTTGAACCCCCTTATAAGAAATGGTTTTTAAATTACAAAAGGAACCCCCGTACGAGGATTCAACATTTATTATATTAGGTTTTTGTATTCAAGATATTTGTATTATACGAACGTATACAAAAGTATTTTTCTTATGCTCAGTCTTTCCGCCTTTTACTAGTTCTCTGTCTTGTTTCCCTTCTGATTCTAAGAAATGTTGTTCAGGTCAAAAGTAACCCTTATATTGACCTTCATTTTATGTAGCCTACTGAAAAAAAGGAAGAATGTTCTTAAAAGAAAGAACGTTGTATTCATAACAAAAATAACCCTCCAAAAATATGAATGCGTATAAATAATACACGTGTATATAATAATAACGTTTATTGTTATAATCAATTTTATTATAAAAAAAAAACATGAAATTTAAATCGATTTTAATTTTGAGTCTTATTAATTATACAAGAAATGTACTCATATAGATTGTGATTATATTTTTTTAGGAGCTATATAATTCGTAAATTTATTTTCCTCAAATAAATCATCATAGAAAGATCCAAAACCATTATTATCGATTTCATGTTTAATTGGAAGAAGAACATTATTTTCTTTTTTTTATTTGAGTTTAAAGTATTTCAATCTTCTTTTGGAATTTCTTCACTTTCATCACTATACTCCACAGTTTCTACTTCATAATATATTTCCTGTTTCTTTTCTTCTTCTTCTTCGACTACAGATCGTTTAGAGTTCGTTTTCTCTTTTAAATCATTATCTTTTTCTGGCTTAATACTCTGTGTTGCTGAGTGTTTAGAATTAGGTGTAGTTGATTTTTTCCCTTTTAATGGTAAATTCTGTGATGAACGTGTAGTTTGGGGTTTAGACACGGTTGTTTTTTTATATTTTAACAATAGTTTCAAAAGTTCGTCACATTCTTTAGATGTGTCTGGTTCTTTTTTTTCCATCAGCTTTAATGCATCTTTTAATGGATTTTTGAGGTGTATATTAAAATAATCTAAAGCAGATTGATTACTGATTATCTTGGATTTTAGATTTTGAAGATCATCTTTTTTAATAAACGAATATTGCTTGGTAATTTTAGTCTCTATTTCTTCCCAAATCTAAATAAATAATTTCAATAAAAATTATTTAAATATTGTAGTGCATAAAATAGTTTTTAATAATATAGGGTGTAATGGATAAAAATCAGTAATTTAATATTAAATATGAATCCGAACTGAATAAAGTTTGGCTGGAACTAGATGCCCGTACTTTAAGTTTGTAAAGACTACCACTATCTATAATGCCCATAGAGCCATATAATTTATTTGAATTATCTGAATCAATGATGTATTTTTAATTTGTACAATACCTTATTTCTTTTATTTTCATTTGAAGTGTAAGTTGAAAACATCTTCGATTTATCATCATTAAAAGATTTAGACGTTGTTATCTATTTTTAAACATAATATGAAAATTATTATTAACATTTTTTTAATTTTATTATTAACCGAATAGATAGTGAGATTGACAAGGAATTATTATTTATTATGTTATTATTTAGACTTTAATTTATGTAATTTTATCTATTCATTCGATATTTTAAGTAAATTTACCTTTTTAATCCTTAATATCTGTCGAAGAAGTAAAGACATCATGATAAACAAGTCAAAAATGATGTAAGTTTCTATAAAGTCTGGTGAAGATACTAAGATAATGTACAGTTACTTACGAAATAATTCAATTAATTAACTACTGATAAAATTTAAAAAAATAATAGCAGACATTTTTGATTAGTTTTGGCTTAGAAATAAAACCATATAGTGTTTATTGATATTTCGTGAAAGATATTTTCTCAAAAATATAATTTTTTTATCTAAGAACTAATTAAACTAATTATTAGACATTTGTATAATATACTATATTTTTTCATTCGCAAATAAAAAAGTATTTAGAAACAAAATAATATATTTGGATTTTAATTATTTAAAACTTATTTATATTCAGTATTTTCTTAGTAATTTATTTATTAACATAAATATAATTCAAAAATTAGAATTTTTGAACCTAAAATGATTTGTTAAATGTGAATGAAATGCTATAGGCAGGGGCGGATCCAGAGCCTTGGTTATGGGGGGGGGGGGAGGAGTAAGTAATAATTTTACAAAATATTATAACAAAAATAAAAAAATAATTTAGTCCGTACAGAAATGTGTGCTACGCAATTCATGTTTTGAACATTATAAAATGAAAATATCATAGTATCATACCATAATATATTTTTTATTAATATAGTTTATTTATAGCCTTATTGGTTCTTCATAATATAGATAGCAGGTACATTGTATACACCGTCATACCTCTATAGCTCTACATACTTGTGCGTGTTGTATAATAGTCCAAATTATGGGTGTATGTAATTTGCGTCAAAAACAACCCCCACAAAAAAATATATATGTAATTTGCTCCACATCTAAAAATTAATTTTGGTAATTTGTGCTACTTTTTAAAGTTGTAATTTGCGCCACATAAAACTAAATAAAAGGGCATTAAGTAATCTACACCATCGTGTACCTACAAAAAATTTAATTTGCGCTATTTGTCACCTTATTAAAATTGTAATTTGCGCCACTTTAAAATTACTAAATCATTTTTTTTAAACAGATTAAAATATTGTATTCTTAACCATTCCATTGGCCAATCAAGTTCACATTAATAGAAAATTGCTTATAGCCTTTGGAAATTCTTCAATTGTTTTTGGTAATGGTGGCACCATTTTTCTACGGCGTTATACATATTTTGTCAAACTAATGATATATCATCGGTAGTATTGGTTTGTAAATGAAATAAATTTTCAGAAAATTCTGTTCGTAATATCTTATTTGGTTTAATATACAGAACTTCCATAGATTTTCTCTTACATCCATTTGAATATATTTTTCTGCGTATACTTGGTTGATCATGCCCGTTAGGTTCATTTACAATTTTAACTATTTATACAATATTTTCTAAAGATGTGTAGATTTTTGCAATGTAAGTTCTGACAATACAAAGCTATCGCATTGAACAATTTTTAGATTCATGAACTATTCGATACGTAACATTTTAAAATAATAATAAATCTTTGTCTCTAATACTTTTAATAATTTCACCGATATTTGTATCCATTACTTATACTTTTATATCATTTTTAAATTTGAAATATAAAATATAAACCCACACGCCATTAATATCGGACTAATTGTAAATATCAATATACTGCTGTTCAAGGCCGTATCTGGCGGGAGGGGTCCAGGGTATCTGGGACAGGGACATTTTCACTACTTTCATATAGAAAAACAAAATATAGGAAAAAAAAATATACTATAATTTATAATATATACAAATATCATTATTATAAATATATATATATAAATATAAATAATAAATGTTGTACATGTGTAATTATTAATTTCTTAGAGTTATTTTCAAGAATTTACCCTCCCCCCCCCCTTCTGAATAGCGGACACCTCTAAATTACGGACAAAATTATGACGGCCTAGAGAGTCCGGTATTTAGAGGTTTCAATGTACATGATTTGGACCCTTCCCGAAAAAAATTTCTAGATACGGCTTTGCTGCTGTTTAATATTATTCAATATTATGACAATTGATAATTTTTATTATATTTGACGTATCTATTCGATTTCGCTTCTACTTATTATTATTAGTAGAACACAACAATAATATATCCAGTACGCATTGGTATTATTGCATTTCCGATGTGTTATCGGTAAATGTATCTGCTGGTAAATTCCAACAATTAAAGTTGAAAGTGTGGCGCAGATTATATGTTCTATTTCGTTTTCTGTTGTAGCACAAATTACCAAAATTAATTTTTAGATGTGGCGCAAAATACATAATTAATTTTTATATTTTGGAGCAAATTACATACGCGCTTAAATGTACCTATTGGTGGCGCAAATTACAAGTAATAAAATTGACTCAAAATACCATCTCTCCATATTATAATATGCATTTTTATTATTAACAATATACATTTTTTTATAAATACGGTACGGGCTTGGGGGCGGCCTCTATCCCCCCCCCTAGAGCCACCCCTGTCTACAAGTGTAAAAAGTTATAACGAAAGAGAAACATCAAATAACTAAAATAGGAACTATTAGTTTGATGTACTATTACAACAATACCTAAAAACTAAAGATATGAAATAAAGTAAAAAAATATATTTACAAATACACTATGTTTAATGTACATAGATTTTTATAATATTTACCGAGTTTTTATTATGGTTGTTATATTTCCATGAGTCTATAGAATCACCATTTAAATTACGTTCAATGCCATTAAAAAGGTATATAGTTGGTAGTGAACACATGCAATTACTTTCTTCACAATAACCATACCCAAATCCTTTATTTGAATAATAACATCTAGCTGCACATCCTAGATTATAGCAACTACGACAAACTAAAATTTAAAAAAATAATTTGTATTGATCCACTTTAATTGAAATTATATTTATATTTAACCTGTATAAACATTAAGCATTAACCAACGTGTGTAACATATTTGGCGATTAGTGTTAGATGTATCTAAACTTATTTATCATGAATAAACATCATGTTGATAACTTAACAACAGTCTTCACTTAATTATAATAATTATTCATTTTGACTAACTTAAACCTAATTTATAAAAATTTTAAAATTTTGCATTTGATGTTCATATTTTTTCTCCAAATGTTACTGTACAACACAAGCAAATATCGTATTATTCTTAGCTATAACTATTAGTTAGCTTTTACTTAAAAATAATTTTCACTCAGAACATAAGAAAATATCAACATAATTGATTTAAATAGACAGTAAATAATATGGTTGACAGATTAATTAAGACCAACGAATGTCTAATGAAATACAATAACTGTATGAAATAATGATAAACAAAAGTAACAGGATTTAAATTAATTACATTTTGAATTGTATATGGATAACTCGTCAATAATTCACGGAAAATATTTCGCACGATTATTGTTCGTAGATATTTGTCAAATATTCATGTGTAAATTGTCCGAATAAAAATTAATTAAGTAATAATTTTAAAATACTACATTAAAATAATTAAATCAATAAATATTCTTATAATCTAAATTATAATTCAGAATAGGCTTAAATGGAAATAGTAACGAATTCCAATAAGTAGTATTGACAATAGTTAAATAGTTGTTATGCATTTTTATAATTGAATATTGTTAGTATTTCCTATAAGTTTTTTTTTTTAAATTCTCATTTTAGATAATTTATTTTACTTGATCCGCAACATACTGCTGGATTTTTAAACTATACATTTTTTCTTTTTTTTGAAGTACTGAAATAAATTTCTAAATTGAAGGATGGTTGGATAAATTATGTGTAGACGAAAAAGTGTTACCTCTTTCCTTCCGTAAATTAAATCACATATACTTAACTGACATGTATGTAAAAATATTATATTAGATTAAAAATTGTCAGGAAAAAAATAACCATGTACATTTTATGCGAACTATTTTCTGCAAACATTTGGCGTTTATCTTCGTATACGAGTACAAATATTGATGAATTTAGTATTCAAAACTATAATTTTTTTATTTATTAATATATTAGGACATTAAGTATTAAGTTAGTTATTATTAATTTTATGAAGTTTCCAATAATAATAAAAAAAATATCTTAATTTAAAATATATAATTTTATTTTGAAATAAAATAAAAATAAATTAGCTCTGTGCTTAAAAAGCATTGCTTACGTGTCACGTTGATAATCAATATAAAACATATAGTTTTTAAAACAAATGATTGAATTGCTTGATTCATAATATTAATGTTTAAAATTAATTTAAGAAATATTTAATACGTTCACAACAAACTCTTTTTAAACATTGTAGCCATATGACTCTTTTTAAAAATTATTTATTTGAAATATGTAATTATAGGTGCCTAATTATATTATGTCTGTCGTTAAAAACATTTGGCGTTTTAAATAATTATATGAATATATTTGTAAACTAGTTAAATTGTATTTTTTTCTGTTATTGTGCAATATATATGTTTAATAACATTGTTTATATATAATTAGGTATAGTCGCATGATACCGTTTTATGTTTCAAAAAGTATTGACCTTGAAAAACCTTAAAATAATGTATTGACTTAATGTGATGGAAACTAAAAAATAAAAATACTACTCACTCACTGATCGCTATTTCTCAATAACTACTTAACGTACGAACTTAAAACTAGAAATAGTGGTTCTTCTAATACTCTAAATATGCAATAAGAAAGGATTTAAAAAAATGTTGCTTTAATATAGATAAATTAATTATAATAATTGACTTACAATACGTATGTACGGTATAGCGGCCCGTGGGTTTCCAGCCATCTTCGACCCACTCTTTTTGTTTGACAATTAGGTGTTTGATACCGGCGCGGCATGTAGATACTAATATTTCCGATAAGTTAATCTATGTATACCTAGTACTCGTATTAGCAACTATCCTATACAGGCTGCGGTAAGGGAGAAACAGTTTTTCTACCCAGAATACCTATGATTAAATCTGATGACCCACAACATTTTTTTAGTATATTCAAAAAGTTTCAGGTGAAGTGTACGATTTCACAAGAGATTACACTTTCATTTTTTTCGTTTTTTCTCTACATTCTAAAAATGATTTACTTGGACGACCAACCATAGAATTTCCTTCACTTTTATTGGAAGATATTTCAGCCAAAGGTAATTTAAATATTGTTTCAAACCAATCATTGTTCTTTTTAATAAATTTGTCAAGTGTCCAATTACATTGATACAATTTTCGTGCAACCATTACTGGAAAATTTAGTTTATTATTTTTAATTTTATCAATATAATTACAACTCTAATTTTCACCAGAATATTTTTCACGAATTTTCGAGAATAATAAATCTCTTGACTGGATATTTTGTGATTTTATAAATCCATTGTTTCTCAAAATCATATAAAGGTCTATATATTTAAATTTTTTTAGATCTTCTTAAAATAGTTTGATTAAATTAGTTAAAGAAAATAATATCAGTAAAATATAATTATTTAGAAAAAAATATATAGTTTATTTTATATAAGTACATATTTTATACTTTTTTATATTAATAGGCTTATGTGATATAATTAATAGATATAGCTTACATAATAATCCAATTAAAAAAATGGAACTCTTGATAAAATTCATTAAGCTCAAATAATATTCATAAATTTACGAATTCGTAAGATTTAAATTTTTTTTTTTTTTGTTAGCTTCTCGGAGATTGAATGTTTATATAATATAAAGGGGCATAAAGAGGCAAACAAAAATATTAAAAAGTTAAAAAATTATATCAATACTTCATCTGAAATCTAGTTTGAAAAAGTAAATTAAGTAAATTTTTATATATTGACTAACATATAAATAAAAAAAAAAATTAAAAAATGTATTTTGATAATTAAATATTATTAATTTATATATATATATATAATAAATCACACTTGCCTTGTTCTTGAGAACTCATTTAACCAAATTTAAAAATTTTACTTAATTTTATTACTTGAACAATATTAAGTATTTCATTTCAATATTGTACAATATTTTATTTGATTTATTACTATAAAATTACGAAACTAGAGCGAACTTGATAAAGGTATAAGTCCGTAAAATGACTGATTTACGAGTTAGCATTCCACACAAAGAAAAATCCTGGATAAGCATACACGTGTTAAATGCACTTATTAATTAATGTTTACGATTCGCAAATATTTTAAAAAGTATTCATAGTTGAACTGATATAGCATACTGTACATAATAACATGTATTTTTTCTATTTTATCAAATTAGAACGACTATAAGACATCGGAAAACATGGAGTGTTTAATTAAGACTTATACACTGTATTTTCGTTTAAAATACATGTACGTTTGATATCTTTCTAGAAATAAGTATTTTTAATTTCAAATATAAAACTAAACATTATAATAATAATTAATAAAAAAAAAAAATTAAATTTTGCTCAGCTTATGATTGACTTAACTTTACCTATATGTAAAATTTACCTAAAATCCGTGAGTAGTATTATTAAAAGGTTAATAAAAATAAAAAAAACTGAAAAAAATTGAAACCCACTATTAGTCTTCAGTGATACCCATGAAATATTAATTTTTCGACAAAAATAGTAACATAGAAAAATAACTTTTCATACATTTATCTGATTGATAATTACTAGGGAACGGATTTATATGTAATAAAAATACATAAATATGTACATATGTATGTAAGTAAAATTTATAAAATATGTACTAAAACCATCCAAATATGTAGGAAAAAAATTTAAAAAAAAAAAAAATAATAATTATTAAATTATCAAAATGATTTGTTGCATTGAATAATTACAATATATTTTAAATTATCAAATATTAAATGTCGCCTATTAGATCTGAAAATATTTTTAAAACGTCTAAATGATCGTTCCACATCAACCTATATCGGTTGATTTAAGCATATTTGAAGGGCATAATATTAGAAGGCGATAATTCCAAATTTTTAGAAGGGTGTCTGCTACTAATTTTGTCATTAATTGATTTAAAATCAATATGGCCTGAAATTTTTTTCTGTAAAAACATGAATTTTCTTTTTTACTACTTCTCCTATTGGTCCGTTTACGAGTTTTCATTTTGCAATCGTTGATTCGACAATTTGCATACTTTCATTCAAGGACATATTTTTGTTTCTAATTTTTTAATTGTATGTGCAATAAAACTAAAATTCATTAAGATGAAAATTAAATTTGTTTTCAATGTTTCATTTTGCATAATATTTTGAGCTTTTCTAATAGCGATAAAAGTTCTAGATCTAAATTTGAAATAATTTTTTGTATTTTTGTACGAAGAAGACGTATGAATGATGAAATAATAAAATATGTTTAAAAATATTTACAAATTAGTGAAATATGTAAAAATATGTAATTATACCAAAATATGTAAAAATATGTAAAATAAAAGTAGCATCATATTAATAGGAATGATTTAAATCATGAACATTTCTTATCAAATTTTAAATATCTCGTTTTAATAAAAATATGTATTTACATATAAATCCGTTCCCTAATAATTACAATATTTATTTTATTACAATAATTTTTATTTTAAATTATACGAATGTTTTTAATCATTGATTATACCATATATGAAGGAAAAGTCTAATATATTTTTATTTTATAAATATGGTGTGAATATAATTGTAATGAACATAACTTTATATTAAATTATGAATATAAAATTAAGACTGACAACTTACGTATCCCAATGAATATTCATAAACGTCCAAATTGTTATGATATTCTGTATGTAATTGAGTAATGAAACAAAATACACATTTATTCTGGCATACAACATAATATACAAATTGTATATTGAGTTGTATTTAAAATGCCTTTTATAGTGATAAAAGACATTTTATGATCTACAATTCGAAAAACATTAATAACTTTGAACCTAAATGTATAAACATACATTAATTAAATTATATTAATTTAGATTAATAAAGGAAATACTTGATATATAATTATTTTATAAAGTATTTCGATAAAACATCTGATTATGGAGGTCAGTAAATTAACGAATCAGCCAACTGGCTAATATACTTTTTAAGTATAATGTAAATTAAAGATTGTTTACAACTGATGTGGTAAATTCGATAACGGTCGAAAAATTGCAATCCATAATAAAATAGGGTAAGATTGAGACATGCATGCAAAAATAAGGATGTTCAAGGTATATTGCATGGTAGTAAACAGGACTCGAAAAAAATTATAAGGTGCCTAGTAGCTACTGCACGATGAAGTGGCCGTTGATATCTTCGAATCGACATATGTACGCGGTGTTGTCTGCGAAAAATCCGTCGACCGTTTTCGCAATTGTTTCTTCGTCTGAAAAATTCAACGAAAAAAACCAGCCGTTAACGAAGTCCACATAATCACATCTAGATCGTTGTCATGGTTCGCTTTGACCAGCCCAACGATTACAAGGGACGATTCGTGCACCTACGTATTATTGTTGGTGGTATCCTCGTTGTGCGGCGGGAGAGGAGGCATAAAGGTCGTATTTGCGTATTCGATTGGGGAGGAGGACGTGAATAAAATGTATAAAAGTTACTTGGGTCGTAGGTGTGGAAGCTGAAATTTTTCGATACGAGTTCCGCGAGGACCTTGAACATGGTCTTCGTGATTCGTCCGGCATCGTAGTACGGTTTCATACGAGCCACGACCATTCGCACGATTCTTTTGAAGGATACGGACCGCTCCTCGGGCTCGGACAGTTCGAAAGCGTGTTGCGTTCCGGTGGTGTCTCGGAAGAACCGGTCGAGCATTTCGTCCACGCGGACCCGCAACTCTTCGGGCAACTCCTTCAGCCGCCTCCGGAATTCATACGCCTCGGCCACGCGGTCGCTTTTCACTGGGCTCGCGAGTACGGTGTCAACGATGCGAGGTCGCATGGTGGTTGGGTCGATGCACGCGGCAGGGATTGCCGATCTCTGGCGGATACCCGTGCGCCTGTACTTGTCGACGGCGATCGCGAATATTCCGTTTTCATCGTACGAATCTGCGAAAATATTAGGTGCTGTTGGACGCGCGACGAACAGTTAACGGTGTTTCGCATGACCATTTAAGATCGAAAGATTAAATCGTCAAAATCACGTGATGTCTACAATAATAGGTGTAATTAGAGGGGAGCTGAAGGGGCTAAGCTCCATCAAAAACATCTAAAGCTCCACAAAAACCATGCAGACCTTTATATTATTAAATTAATAAAAAAAAAATATATGTGATTACT